TGTTAATTTTTGCAAGAAGAGTTTGAGGACTTTTTACAGCTGCAGCTGAAGTTTGAACAAAGGAGCATATGTTTGTAAGTTTGAGGGTTTTTTTATTAATTTAATCTTGTTTCCCATATTGTTCAGAGTGAGAGACTCACTGGAGATTTAGGGGGAGAAGTAACTGGTGCAAAGACACAAGGCACGCACAGACCCTCCTTACTGTGATAATGCACTTGTCTCTTCTGGTCTTTTCATTGACCACTTCCTGTCCTCATGCTCTCATCTCTGTGATTCATATAAGTTTATCTACTTCAGATGAATATAGTGCTTGCTTATTTTATACTGGAAATGGCACAGAGCTCATTGTACCTGATGGATCTTACAAAGAAATCATTTCAGAATGGCTAAGATATTTCTAACTTTACTGCAGTTTGCAAGGTCATTGTAGCATCTCCATGCTCCAAATTGCAGCTGCTGGCTCAGCGTAATCCACAACATCCCAAGATCTCTGGGAAAACTCCTACAGAGAGCAGAAAGGTAGCTTGAGAGCTGCTGCAAACATCTGGTTTTCTGTCTTCTTTTTCTTGCTCTTCCGTGTTACCTCACTCCTAACAAAAAAGGGGCGGCTGTTAAGATATATATGTGGTCACGTACCCTATGGAGCTGTTCCTAAACGCAAGTGCTGCCTAAAAGCCTGTTCTTTTATATCACCTATGAAAAATACAGCGTTATTAACAGCAAATACAGGAATTACCTGGCAGCGCCTGTGCTAGGGAAGGTGGAAGTTCTATACATGTCTGACGTTCACCAAATATTTTCTCAAACCTGGTTCATGGATGGGATTGAAATTGGTATCAAATGCTTTTCAGCATTCTGCACTCGTACAGAATGTGGATGTTTTGAGACAGGCAAGGAATACTTTAAAGTATATCGTTATATATTGTATACTTGGCAGGGTGTTCTGCAATTTGTAGGAAATATTGGGAAATGACAAAGCAATACAGGATAAAGTGTAAAAGAAGCGTCAGGTGGGTCTGAGTCTATGTTCCAGGAATATTAGGAACTTCTGCTGTCTCAAAATCCATGGGTTTCTGAACAACATCAGCTGTGGATACAGAGGAGAAAGGTCTGATTGGTTATATGGCTGTGTTGAAATACACTGAACACTTCAAGTCTGTGTTGTAGTGTTTTCTGGTTAGTAAATAGAAGAGAGTGGGTTAGTCAATGTTAGAAGGCAGTGAAGCTAGCAATTCTCACAATACTCTCCTCTTTCAGCTCCCAACAAAGAGATGTAGACGTGACTTTAGCTGAATTAGGACATTAATGTACTTTGTGCTCTTCATATTACATCTAATATCTTGCCATAAATAATTCTGAACGTGAACTTATTTTGAGATTAAATTATTGTCCTTATTTAATATAATTAACACAAAATAGAGATTCATGTTTTTAAGTCTTTAAAATACTCTATTCCATATAAAAAGGTGTTTTGTGTTCTGCAACAGAATGCTTTGCCCTCTGTGAAATCAGCATAAGTGAACTAGTTATAATCCCTGTGCATTTATAATTACTGAAGTGGTTTGGATGGCTTTACTTAGTATTAAATCCTGACATCATCTTTAAGTACAGAAATCAAACTTGTTGTAATTAAGATTGTATCAATAAAGTTCTCACTTCTCACATCTTTTCCAGTAGTCATAATAAACCAAAATTGTATGATTCATTGGCTGCTTTAAGTATTTGTTCTTTCCGATATTGCCAGGCTACTGATGTGTAAACAGAAATATAAATGTATGCTTGCGGATGGGTGATTGTTTGGGCTTGCACAATAGTACTGAATCATTTGAGCAGGTCTCCTTGCTCTGTACCGTGGACTTAACAAAAGCTGCTCTGAAGTTGCTCAGAAGTGCAGCTCCAGAGCACAGGTTGCTTGTTGGGACTCAATGAAGCTTGTGATTTTCTGCTCTAAACATATTCCATCCTAACTGTAATTTCTAAACTAGCACTTTTCAGTTCACGGGTCCATTATGAGATATACAAAATATTCAGATTCACAGTCAGTAAACGGTGCTTCTCTTCTAATAGCCTCTGTAATCTGCTGAAGTAACTAGGTTTTCTTTAGTATGTATGTGAAATGAGGAAAAAGGAGAGAAGACTTTTACAGCACTTAAGCTATTGTTTCTAGAAAGTTGTTTCAGGCATTTTTCCAAATAAAAACACAGGCTGTTATGAAGTTCCCAAAGTTGGTGGATTATTATAGGAGTATTTTACAGCTATAGAATAAAAGCTTGAGTACATAGGAATCTGCAGCTGATCACATTTGTAGCAATTCCCATGCGTTCAGGGAGTGTGTGTGTATATGCATGTGTATGTTGGGAAAAAGAGAACATACAAGTGTAAGGAATTGTTACAAACATGCTAGTCGCTCCCATGAGACAGCTGATTTTTTTGGCTGCATCTCTATATTACCCCATAAAAAACTTCTTTAACTATTGCAAATTGTTATTCAAGTGATTTACTGGGTTTGAGGATGCTGGCCCATGATCGCAAGCGTGGCATCTTTGCTGAGATAACAAGCTGAGAATTTTAAAGAAAAGCCATGAACAGCAGCACAGATCTGCAGAGATGTGGGTGTTGCATGCTGTGCGCATGAAATATGTAAGGATAATTGCTGCCCAGATTTTATGCAAAGGTGATTCTGTTAATGAGCACTGCAGTTCCTAGGAAAGTGGGCAGCTTCTAGAGAATCGCTTGGGGCAGCAGATTTCCCAGATACAGGAACTGAAATGAAGATCCACAAACTCATGGTGTTTATGAGTTCCAGAGAAGCATGACTTTCATACTAATAATGTTTATCTTACTCTGATAAGCTCAAGAAATGTGCCAAGGCTTTGGCTGCACCTTCCTCCTCTGCTACTGCAGGTTGTTATCCATGCTAAGTCCTGCGTGTTGCCGTGAAGAACCCGGATCGCAGGTTCATGCAGTGCCCTCCCAACATTAACGTTGGGTCGGGTTGCCTGGGGCCATGTGTGGTCGAGCTCTGACCATCTCCATGAGTGGATGGAGATTTGCAGCTTCGCTGGGCCCTTGCCCTATTATGTGATCAGCCTTGTTGTTAAAGAATTAAGATTTTTTTTTTAATGTCTAATGATAATTTCCCTTGTTGCAACTTGTGTCTGTAGCCTCCCATCCTTTTTCTGTGCACCTGTGAGAAGAATCTGGCTCTGCCATGTCTGTACCTACTCAGTAAGTAGCTGAAGGCAGGAATAGGACCCCATCGTTTGCCTTTTCTTTGCGCTGCATAATCATGGGTCTCAGCCTCTGCTCATGCACTCGAGCTGCCTGACCATCTTGATGGTCTTCCACTGGACTTGCTCAAGTTTGTCAACGTCCTTCTTGTGCTGAGGAGCCAAAACTGGGCACAGCACTCTAGCTGTGGTCTGGCGAGTGTCAAATAGAGGAGAAAATCACTTCCCTAGACCTGCTGTCTTTGCTTTCTTACTAATGGAGTCCAGTATGCAGCTATCCTTCACCACTGAAGACGATCACTCACTTTGAATGTGTCCACCAAGAGACCTGGGTCCCTTTCTGCAGAGCTACTTTCTATCCAGTCCATCCCCACACAGTTTGTGCTTGAGACTGGTCTGTCCAAGGGCAGGACTTGTTGAGTTTCACGAGGCTGCTCTCAGCCCATTTTTCCAGCCTATCGAGACCCGTCGAAGTGGCAACCTTACCTTCCAGCTTATCAACCATGCTCCTCAGTTTCACGTCATCTGCAAACCTGTTGGAGAATGTGGTTTTCCCTGTTTCTTCCTTCCGTGTCATCCCTGAAGTTCACCCAAACCCGGATGGGTAGTTCGGGGAAAAGGAGTAACATGCTCTTAGGCTAAGACATGGGCAAATAAAATGCGATGTCTGTGCTCACCTCATCATAAGCTTAGTGGCAGCTCTAGATAGGGAAGTATTTTTCCTAATGGGTTAATTCTGTACAATTTCTGCTACTATCTGCTCCAGAGACAGAGTGTGGAACTGGTTGCAGCAACAGACTGTTGTAATATAGCTGCTATTAGAGCATGCTCCTCTGCATGTTTTTGTTGTTTGTTCTTTGGGGGAGAGTTAGTTTAGTATCCATTCAAGGCTAAATTCTAAAATTCTTGCTTTATCTTCACTCTTTCAACAAGCAAATCCTGCTCCTGTGTGGTTTAAAAAAAAGGGCATAATGGTGTAGTATTTTACTTCAATGTCAAAATGAATCAAATCTTGGAAAACTTTGCCTTCTGTTGCTTGCATAAATGCACATATGCAAACACTAGTTTGCATTTTACCAATTATCTGGTTGCTCAGTTTGTAGTGAAATTTTTACATTAAATCCTTTAGCCCATCTCTATACTTAAACAGTAAGTGGAAACAGTATGGATGTCTGGCAAGTTAAGAGGGACAAACCCTCAGATTTTCGAGACTACTTAAATAAGAATGGTTCAGTAAATCAGATGCAGTACATAGGTACTTGAGGGGAAATCCACTACTAAGTTTTTCAGCACGAACAAGTGCTTGTTGAAGGAGAAAATCCCTACTGAAAAGGGGAAAACACCATGCCACCTATCATCACCAGCTAAGCCTCAGACTATTTTTCTTCTTTTCCACTTTTTTCGTTCTCTTCCCAAGAAATATAATCCTTCTATGAGACCATAGAGTAAACACATCCTGAGCCAGCAGTGCAGAAAAGAAGTTGACTGAGCACTGCTTTGGAGGAGGAGACCTAGGTAGGGCTGAAGAGGGCTGTGGGAAAGCTGAGAAGGGAGGCACGGAGAAGGGGTGGGAGCCCTGCAGAAGGGCTCATTGGCAGAAGAACGCAGGAACAGGATACGTTTCAGCTTTTGGGTGGCTCTGGGAGGAGCAAGTGTTGGGATTAAAGTGTCTTGATGAAACTGTTCCTTTTCTTTTCAGACGCAGGCAGTGAGTTTCATGGAGTGGATTTTCTGCGAGAAGATCTCAACGAGGCTCCAGAGGAGACAGGAATGAGGGTGAACAAGAAATACTCCTGTCTACCTGCTGAGGAGAAGGGGATCCACATTATCAACATCCGAGCTATTGAGGATATAGGATATGACCAGCATGAGAGTACAGTGAGTAAAGGACTTGCCAGATGTGTCATAACTGGCATACTGCGCTTTACCCCTTAGCTTATTTCTCATTCTTTCCATTCTCAGGATGCTCTGAAATCATCTCCCTCCCTTTTTTCAGAAGTGCTGAGAAGGATTGCCACCAGCCACAGTACATGCTGATTTAGTGGGTTTTGTTCTTTGATGTGAAGAAGGGAAGCAAGGGATCCTTGTTTAACCTGTAGCCTAAAAAGGGGTTGGCTATTCCCAGAGTAAGTGATCTGGCAATAAGGCTGTGGCAACCTTTAAATCTCTTTGCGCACATAGAGTAGAACAGAAAAAAAAGTCTAAAATGTCATGTAAAAGCTGTCGTTAACATAGGTAACATTAAACTTATAGTCTGTAGCACACAATACAGGTTAGATTTCCAGCGTCGTTAGTTGCACCTTGGTTAAATTCTTTAACGCTGATTTTAAAGAAAGTTAGTAACGTGAATACCCAACAGGATTAGGAGTTGGTTATGTCATAAACGCATAAAAAGGAGTTTATTCAGGTGAAGGAACTGAGGTGGAGTGGGCTATATAACAGATCTCACTGGGGAAAGATGTAAAGCAATACTCGATTCGTCATGCTTTTGCTTAATTAGGATTGAGTGTGGAGGAATAATTCTGTTCGAGTGTAAACATCCCTCCTGCTGTGATAAAACTGAAATGTCTTTTCTGTGTCTCATTTACAACTGAAGGGACATGAGTCTTACATGGTCTAAGTCAACACAACTCCCTCTCTATTTCAGCGTGGCAGCGCTGCAAGAAAGGATGTGGCCTATGAGCACCTTTCAGCATTAATATCACATCCTTAAAAGATAACCATTTCTTTCTTTAAAACAGGACCAACAGGCTTCTTTGAGTTTTTCCGCTTCATCCCTTTTGCAGTGCGATATAGCTATTCTTGTATATTCATAAATTTATTGAGGCTTTAGTATCCCCAGTGCAGCACCTTCTCCTAAATTATCAGTGAGTTCCCACAAGGGTCAGCTTTTCAACAGGAAAGTTCAAAAAAAAAGTGAAGAAGCTCTTATTTAGTTCCTGCAGTGTGACCTGTCCCCTTCCCCATGGCAGTGGCTCAAAGAAACAGAGACACTAGGGATATTCAGTGCCACTTTTCTCCACCCAAGGCGTGCTCCAGGAGACGAGGAGCTGTGGTCAGGATGTACTGATCCCTCCTGAGCTCCCCAAGCAGTTAGAAACATCTGGCACACTCACTGCTGTCATCTTCAAGAGCCATCTTCAGTCCTGCCCGTTTCCTTTATTTATTAGTCTCTGGAACAGACCAGCTAATTGCTGTGCCTCGTAAAGGCAGTCCAACGAGGGTAGGAAGTGGTTGGGGTCTGATTCTTTTGCCTATTTTATCTCCCTGCCTTTAGATGAACATCTGTTCGATCAGCCCAGTTTTTCAGAAGTTGATATTTAATTAATTAATAAGATCAACACATCTTTAAAAATGAAATACAATTAGTTATCTTAAAAGAAATCCCAGTATTCCTGTATCTTGTTTACAACTATTTACTTTGAAGAGGCATTATATCCCGAAAATCCAGTTAGTTCCTATTTCTTAGTATTTTGTTTCTATAGAAATTTGCATAACTGAGTTGCCTGCCACAAGCAGACCATCAGTTTGCTTTTAAAAAAATGTTCTGCATTCACAGGTGCACGCCATTAAACATGAAGCAATCAGAAAGTTATTAATAGTCTTCTATATTGTAGTTATGATGGGGCACAAACATGAGAAGCCTGTGCCCTGAAGAACATGTTATTGTCATGGCTAAATAAAACAGACGGGGAAAGAGGAAACAGGACCAAGAGTGAACTCCATAGTGGCAGCAAATGCTATATTATTTTATTATATATTTATGCATTTGGAGCAAAGGGTTTAAGTTGAATGGAAAAGAGAGGTGGGATACTGAAAGAAAAGGAGAGAGAAACGGATAGCAAAGGCAGGCATGGAGCAAAGCTCCAAGGGACTGAGGAGATGGAGACCTGCAGCCAAACTGGGCAGACATGGTCAAGTCAGGCTTTGGAAAGCAATAAATGTTCAGGCATCAGCACCTCGGCAGGCGGCTGCTCCGCGTACTGCCTGGCACCTCGGGCTTCTTGCTGTCTGCCAGTCCTCCTTGCTGGGTGTTATTGCTACGCGCTCATCTGATTACACTTGTCTAATTACTTCTTCAGTGCGCTTCCTCCTCCCTCCAAACCCAGGGAGATGAGGTTTGCTGCTTGAATTTGTTGTCTGAGTACAAATCTCCCCGAGGCAGAAAGGGAAGAACAGACTGTCCCTTAAAGGCATTGATTTATCGTTATGGTAGCTGGGACCTGCCCTCCCCAAAGTGATGTTCAGAGAAGTATGCAAATGTGTGTAACGTTGGGTGGGTTTCAGTGAAGTTTGGGCTATATTGGCTGTGATATACTGTACGGTAAGCTCAGGGGTTGCTCTTTTCATCTGGGGTTTAAAAATTGGACTGTCTTAGAAACAACTCTTTGCAAATAACTTACTTTCACAGTTTTAGATATGAAATAAGCAGAAGGTGTACACATCCCAAATGGCTTTTGACCGATATGATGGCCGATGGCTATCGTTTGGAGCAGAAGTCCTACAGCCTCCATGGAGGCTTAACATTCTGTGAAATTAAAGCCAGAAGATGCCTCTGGTCCCTGAAAAGCCATTCCTGTGATGAGTATTTTTTGTAAAAACAAATGCAAGTTACTAGTGAATTTTCTTCTTCTTTTTTTTTTTTTTAAATGGTCTGTGCATCTCCAAGGGTAGAATTGTGAATTATCCATGAGAAGTGCTATTGAAAGTAGAAATGAATAGAAATGAATAGTTGTTAGTACTTTTTTATGTTTCTACAGTTGCCCTGTGCAGTTTTCAGATAAATGCTTGGAAATGCAATTGTGTTATAAGTCTTATATTTCTTGCATCTTGCAACACTTAGCGTTAATTCAGGACAGTAATAAAGCCTTTGCCACCATAGGATGGCAAAGTGACACAGGTTTTGTAAGTGAGGAAAAAAAGTTATGAACTTAGTAAGCAGTGAACCCACTTCCCTGGCTACAGTCCATCTGCATTTTTGGCTGCGCTTCATGGACCAGCTGGCTCCCTTCAGTCTGTATCTAAGATGATCTCTTTCTCAGATGATACAAACTTGCAACGATAGATAACAGAAGTGAGAAATGTTTGCACATGATATTAATCTATTTGTCAGAATCGAAACGCAGATGTCGGGTGGAAAAGGACAGATGATCTTAGTGGTGATTAACCCCCAAAGGAGAAAACCAAATCCACCAAGTAGCTGACTTATGAGCTAGTGTGCTGGTAATTAGATTAAATCCCAGTCATTTTAGCTATTTATTTCTGGCTAATGAAATCCCAGCTGGCTATCAGTAAAATTGCAGGTGTTAACTTGCAAAATTGTTTTGAGTAAGTAGCATGGGGGGGTCGTCCTGCGTGCATGCTGTTTGAAGATGGGTCATTGTGTGCTCCAGGCAAGAAGGTGTCCTTGATACAAGGATACGATCTGTCTGGTGGCCGCGTTGGCGTGTGTACTCACTATTCTTCTCCTCTCTCCTTCTCTCCACACCCCCATTCCCTGCTTCCAGTTATTAAACTCCCTATCCAAAAATCCAGATGCTGACTGCAAATATGGACTCTACTTCAGAGATGGCAAGAGAAAAGTAGACTACATCCTAGTTTATCATTACAAGAAGTCCTCGGCAGGGAGGACGCTCACCAGGAGAGTTCATCATAATGATTCAAGTGCCCGAAGCACCAAGCAGGACCAGCCGCTTCCTGGGAAGGGAGTGCAGCTGGAAATGGGGGAAAGCGAACCTCACGTGGATTACCATGAAGACGACAAGAGGTTTCGCAGGGAGGAGTACGAAGGGAACCTCGTGGAGGCTGGTCTGGAACTGGAACGCGACGAGGATGTAAGGAGCCATTTCAAAGGGTTAAAGATAAAGAGGATAACTGGTGGTCAAATCCTGGGAGATGCTGAGCTGTTCCTGTGAACCTGGCTCTGGTCAAGGTTACACAAACTCAACTCTTCCAGAATTCGATTTCAGTTCTGGCAGTGCCATCTTTGCCCGCCGTTTTAATTTGCTTCACAGGAATGGGCTGTGGTGTTGTTAATGCCTCAATGAGGTGAAGTTTCTCACTTTTCTTGCCCAGAACTCATGCACATCCGCTATTGCAACACGGCGTGTTGATGTGTTGCCGTATCTAGAAGTGAGGCTTAAATTGCTCTGAATGCTAATCCCGGTTTGGTGGGTTTACAGTATGCTGTGGTTTGGATCCACTGGTAATTCCAGTTCTGATGAAAAATACCTGATACAGTGACATTTTTATACCTCAATATAGACTTCCAGAGAATTAAATTTGTTCAGGAGGTTCTGGTACATGTTCTAGCTCAGGCACGTGGGTCTGTATTACAGTTTGCTCTTTCCATTCTTAGATATGAACAGTACAGCTTGTAACGTCTTTCACCTGTACCCTGAAAACAGTATATTCTATTAAAAGACCATTAGACTATATAAAAAATGATGTGTGTGAAGTACTGCCAGTGCGTGATTAGTAGAAATAGCCACAGCCGTATTAATTTCAAAGAAAGCTATTACAATTAACTGATCCGACCAATATGCCTGAAATTCCTGTGGGAGAGGGTAAACATTTATGCTGGCTTTATTTACAGGATCTAGAAGTTGAGATTAAACATCTAGACCTGTGATCAGAGTGTTAAAAAAATAAATCTGCCATCTATTACTCACAAATCACAGGCATGTATATAATGGGGGGATGTATATATATATTTATTTTTTTAAAGTATATATTTTGCATGCTGTAATGCAAAAAACCCTTTCACTTCTCTGTCCCCCAGGTGAAAATAAGATTTGCTTTCCATCCAACTTCCAAGTTGTTGTAGTAAACTGGAAACCTGCCTGTGCCAAGTCATAGATATTTAAATCCTTTGTAAGGTGGGAGGTCCCCACCTATGACATGTAATACAATTTCAAATGATGCAGAAGGGCTCAGGGTTCAAGCCAGGACACCGTAAAAGAGAGAGAACCGTGTTCTTTCAGTACAAGATACCAAACCAGATCAGGAATGTATGGAGATGAAAGCAAGCCGCAGGGATTTACATCGGTGTCCATATCCAGCACATCAGTGTAGGGGGAAAAACCTGCAATCATTTGGGCTTGAAAAGCATGCCACGAAGTTGCGTTGGAGGCCTGACTAATTGCAAAAAAGAGCAAAGGTTTCTTAAACAGATGATGTTTACTAAGTCACTTAAACTCTCTTCAGTGGAGTAAATTCGAAGGTTTGGAAGCCATGCCTTACGGGAGGGCTGGCAGTTATTTATGTCCTCTGAGTTACTGATTTCTAGAAAACCCATGCAGAATATAGCTGCGTGAAAGCTAGTTATTATGACAACTGCCTGAGTTTGTAGAGCAGCAAGATTAGAAAGAATCATTAAAGTTTCTTTCTCTTCTGTTTGCTGGATGCGTGCTAGTTTGATATCATTTGTCCAGTGGCTTTGAAATGATTACTCCTGTGGGAGTAAATACGGGTGCACGTGGGAGTGCCAGAAGCAAACCCCCATGTCCAGCCATCTAGAACAGAACTCAAGAGAACTAGTGGGATCCAAGCATACTGCTAATATTATCATTAACATTTATCTTTTTTTTTCTTTTGTTTTGTTGAATTCTTCCTACCAGTTTCCCTAATTAAAATTCGTAGTGTTTTAATGTAGATATTCACATCTGTATCTAAGGCTGCTTCTTTCTCACTGAAGTTCTGGTCCTTTGAGATACTGAGCAGCTCTTAGGAGGTAGCAGGGACTCGCTCAGCTCCATTAATTACAACGCACTCAAGAAATCATACCATTTGGCTGGATGCCTATGCTTCAAATTTAACTGGCTTAGTCTGTATTTGTGTCCATAGTCATGAGCTTTTATCTCCCAAACAATTTTTATCTGTTTAACCTTGTGTTAATTATTCTGGAAGACAATAGCATTTTTGAGTCACGTTTTATAGCAGCTCAGCACAGAGAGGTGTTCGGTGATTGTCCTGTTGTTAGAAACTAGCCGTCTCAAACAAATGAGATTTATTGTGTTGGCGGTAATAGACTGTTTGTTCCTTAAATATGTATGAAACACAAGGGGAAAAATATTTTATTTCCTCTTATCAGTAACATCTTTTCTTGCTTTTTTTTTAAGACTAAAATCCATGGGATTGGATTTGTAAAAATACACGCACCGTGGAATGTATTGTGTCGAGAGGCAGAATTTCTTAAGCTCAAGATGCCCACAAAAAAGGTGAGTCCTGATTTTCTTTTCTTCCTCTGGAAGGCATAGTTTAAACATATGCTCATCTCAGAGCACCTTACAAATGTAGACTTTTCTTCCCACAAGCATTTTTAAAATAGTTAACTAATCTGTACAGAAGATTAGAGTCACAAACTTGCTTGCTTGGGACAGCAGAAAGAATAACTGGAAGAAGGGATGGAAATTAAGAATTCCCAGCCGCTACTGCTCTCCGTACACGATCCGAGTGATTTCATACAATGCCTCATCCTCTCAGCATGTTTTAAAAGAAGAAGTTGCAACTGATGATGAAATTTATCTGTGCATTTTGGAGGGTTTTTTCTCACTCCAAACGCTAGAGTGCTAAAAATGAACATAAGACTAACAATTTGTGTGCAGTAGTCTCGCTGAATTTACTGACTCTTCATATACATTGTTAGTCATATTTGCAGGAGCTGGGACTACTCTACCACAAAATAAATTACCTTTCAGAATATTTGAAATATCATTAAAGAAATGACAGTATATTTTCATCAATTCTAAGTCATCTGTGATAGATAGCTACCTGTTCAGTGAGCATAGCTTAGAGATGGATTAATTTTTAAACACATACTAAGTGCATGTCCCAGACTGCAGAGAGAAGTCTATAATGGAGCAAGAGACAGTCTCAAAGCCCAGCGTCATTTATTACAACACTAAAACCACACTTTTGGTTTGGATTTCATATTAATCCCCATTATTGCCTCACTTACCACCAATTTTAATCAGAAGCACAATTAGATTAAAAAAGTCTGTTGTGATCCTGTGGTTAAAGCTGCTTTGCCACAAAAGAAAAGCTAGGCTGCGCATTTTGCGGGTTTTTTTTTGTGTGAAAGAGGCCACGTAAGCCTGCAGGCATTGCCCAGGAGAGGCGATGTGCCTGAGAACATCCTCAGACCCCGAAAACCTTATTTCCAGCTGAGCATCTTCCTGTGGTGAGAGCTCTGCCCTAGATCTGCATGTAGTTTTTGTGGCTCAGAGAGGGAAGCCTGTAATCCTCTTTTGTGACCTGGTAACACAATTCCTGCATTTAGCGCTAACAGAACTGCAACAGACAATTCAAGATATTTTGGTTCCTTTATATGGAAGAGGGGAAACTCCTGAAACCTACACAATATTCCCAGGAAAGCCCCTGGGAGAGGAGACCACTTCTGTTGTTTTGCACAGGGGCTCCTCCATTGCTCCTTCATTTCTTTGTCCCATTGCACCGAGAAAATAGTAAATGCCAGAGGAGCCGGTGCCGAGTATCTCTCTGTTGAACACCCCAGTCTGATTATTTGGAATCAAACAGGGTCCATGTTTTGGCTCAGAGAAAAAGCAATAGGCTTCCTCTGCTTGCCTTGGTTTGACTTTCCCATCCATCTATGTCTTTCTGAATGTTTTCAAGAAGGTAAGCTGTACTCCTTGATAGTTTACTGTGATGTATTTATTTAATTGACAGTTTATTCCTTACAGTTCACTTTCACTTATGGATAACGAAAAAGCAGTAAAGTTTTACTCTTTCTCTCTTTGCCCACTCAGATGTATCAGATCAATCAGACCCATGGTCTTCTGAAAAAGATTAATTCTGTAATTCAAAAAATAACAGAGCCCATCCAGCCAAAAGTAGCAGAACACAAACCTCAGACGGTGAAGCGCCTCTCCTACCCCTTCTCCAGAGAGAAGCAGCACTTGTAAGTGAAAGCTTGGTGTAAACGTCCATGTCAACAGGTTCCAGCCTTTCTGATAGCAGCTAAGGCACCAGAAGGTGAAAGGGAAAATGAACGCCAACACTTTGTTAGGGATTACTGTAAAGAATATTTCTATTTTGCAGTAAATTTACTTTCTTTTTTTTTTCCCCCTCACTGTTGAGGAATGAGGCTTTGCAGAGCCCCCCTGCTAAATCTCTGTGTGTTTTAGCTGTTGTTGTGGCATATAATACATATCTATATAGCTATACACATCAACTGTTAGGCTGCCAAACACGATTTATAATGTGGTTAACAATAGTCTCTTTTCCACATAAAATAAAATGCTCAGTAAAATTTGTAGCCAGAGATGTGGGTTGATAAATTTGAGAATAATTTCAGTCATCTGGTATGGGCAGTTCACACATGCACTGCCAACCAGGCCTTGTCTTTGGAAATGCTATGAAGTCAGTGGTAGCTTTGCCATCGATATCAGATCGGTAAGAATAGCTGTAAACGTGGGTGTAGGAAAAAATCATAAGGTGGGGCCCAGCCAAAGTTTCGACTGCCCTGGATTGCTTTGCCGCTGCTCTTCCTTGGCCAGCATCCCAGGGGAGAAGCTTTGAAGGCTGTGTTTATGTATGGGCCAGCTGGAACAAATATCAGTCCCAGGGCAGGATTTCTTCACTGTACGTACCAGGGTTTTAGTTTTTAATAAAGGGATGCAGAACACTGATGGAGTTGTGTAGTTTAGTTGGGCCAGTCAACGTATGTGACATTCGACGTGTTCTTGGACTTGCAAGAAGTGTATTTATATATTTATCACATGGAGGATGTTCCTACAGCGAAGGAGCCTGGTGGCTCAGAGAAAGCCCAAAAGATGCTCCTTAGCTGAGGTGTGGATGTGCCTTACCCTGTTTGCAGTGGTGGCTTTTTTCAGTGAGACCGCCTGTGTCTTTGCTGAATAAGGGAGGCAGGAATGGCCTCGCAGGGTTTAAGCTGCAGACAAAATGTAAAGATCGTTAGGAGAAATTCAAGGCCAGCAGTGGTCAGGAATTCCACTTAAATGAACATCAACAGTCTCTTTTGTGCAGAAAAACCTATAAATATATAAACCTAGTGAATCGTATAAGCGGCCTCTTTAAAATATGAGAGTTGGGATGGACTTTCTTTTTAATGAGGTTTCTACAAGTGATTCTTTAATGTTAGCCATGAGAGATCCCCAGGAGAAATGAAAATATTGAAGGGGTCAACAAGAGCAGGAAATTACTGGCTTTTTTTTTTTTAACCTAATGGGCTTCCTTCTAATCTTTTAACAGATTTGATTTGTCTGACAGAGATTCCTTCTTTGACAGCAAAACAAGAAGCACTATAGTAAGTATTGTACATAAATAATTTATGGTGGATATTGCCTTAGTCATGGTGTTAATAGCCCCTTTGCCAGCTTTACTACAAAGCCTGTTGCAAGTTTGCCTTTCTTAACCAAATGGCAGGCATCACCTGTGACATCAGTTATTGAAATTATAAATAAAGCATTTCCAGCTTTAGCTTATGTGCTGAATAGTGTTTGATGCTAACAGGTTGCTGCCTTTTGGAAAATAATTTGGATTTTTCTACTTCACAGTTAATCTGGGACATAGTTTCTTAGTAGACATATCACCAGAAAAGAACAGACTTAGATTCTACCGCTGGTTCTGCCACCAGCTACCTGCAACCCCTGTGACTCATTTACCTTTTTATAACGATACATTGCTCTTTTTGTAGAATGCTGGGAAATCTCCCAGGACAAATTCTAATGAAACAGCCAGATATTTACAGGGAAAATGATTTATAGCTATTGGGGGCAGTTCTCTAGAATAGTGCTACAAGTGTTGAGGTTTATGATTTTTATTTAACATTATTTATGATTTGTATTTAACATTAAAGTTTACGTGAAGCGAATGCAACAAGGACAGAAAATTGCATCTTGTTCTGGTTGTATATGCATCTGTTCACCCCTGTTAAGCCAGTGAGTGTGATGTACATACATGTAGCACTGGAACTGGGCTGAGACATTCCCACCTTTGTGTTGGAAGGTCTCTCTCCTCCTTCAGTGCTAGCATGGGACTTTTCCTCTCATAGTTAAACTTCTGCAGTTCCCTTGCAGAAGTAAAGCCTAATAAAGGAATACGGGATCACAAACTACGTGTTGAGTGCTTTCTTGTGACTTACAGAACATAAAATTGAGTGGGGAAGAAGGCGTAGCCTCCTTTATAGGGGGGGAACTGAAAGGACAGCTCATATCACATCCAGGGCAGTTGGAAGGGACCATGCCAAGCAGCACTTGCTGCAACACTTTTCAAAGTATAATGTGGACTCTTTGCCCCATTCCACTGCTGCTAATCGGTGCTTTGGAATGTGACTGCGAGCATGCTTTTATCTTATATTTAACATTAGCCTTTTTGGATGCTAAGTGGTTTTTAAAAGAGCTTGTATTGCAATTATAGCTGCCTTTTATTGCTACGGTGATAAGGGGTGTAAGATATCTAACTTCCTTTTCCTGCTTTGAAATTCCAGTGTGTGGACCCCATGATGTAGTTCCCCTGTAGCCTGAAGTGCACTGATTTGATGTGAGCGCAGGTTATCAGGGCTAGGTGAGTTTGACCAGGGAATGCAGGCACAGCAGCGCAGAAATGGAAAAGGAAAAGGCAAACATCAAATTGGTTTATTTACGATAACCCATTTCACTTGAGATTGGAAAAAAGCATAGCTTTTGTTTGTAGACTTTATTTTATATGTCTAGCTATACAGTAAAAAAAAATGTCAGTACAAGAACCTTAAGGGAGCAAATGAAGGGTTAAAATTAATGACAACAGGCTGTCTGAGAAAGGTAGCAAGACAAAATGGCACCATAGGACAAGAGGGTGAGCAAGATTAACTGAACCATGGGCTGAAGCAAAAGGAGCTCATAGCAGAGGCTGGGAGGAAGAGGAGGGATGGGGTTTTTTTAAACCACTCGGGGAACACTGGGCATATAACAATAATGGTGATAGTATGTTGCTTTGTTTGAAATCCCGGTAAATCACCTGGTAATAAAAGACATAGTGAATGTTTCCCAGCATCATTTTATCCTGCATGCATTTCTCTTTGTATTCTTGTTTCTTAAAGTTCTCTCCTGCCTCTCATATGTATTTTTAAACCACAGTGCAAATATTGACCCTTCCGCCTACTGCAAAATGAACAGGAATCTAGTCACTCCCTGTGAATCTTTGATGAATAGAAACTAAGCCAAAGACCTTTTACTTATTTAAAAAAAAAAAAAAATTATATAACTGGAAATCTCCCTGTGACAACCCTTTAACTCACTGGAGTTAGAAGACAACAGGCAGATGAGCTGCGGGGCTTGCCTCCTATGTCCTCGCTCACTTCCCTCCATGAATTGGGCAAGCAGCAGCCGTGAGCACACGGATTAGCGAGCATCCCCAGGGAACTGGTCCACAACTCCCCAGACAGACCAGGCAAGGGGCAGCAGGTGCCTTTGCCCGTGGTTTTCCTCTGCTGCCCGCTCCCTGCCAGCCTCCCGCTTGCCTTACCCAAGAGCATCGCTGTGCAGGAGCGGCGCGGGGCGAGAGCTTGACCGCCCGGGCGGCGTGCTGAGATGTGCAAAGGTTATTTGACAACAAATGCAATAAATCGTAAAATAAATACATCTGGTTTGCCAGTGAGGTCATGCAGGCTCAGAAGTTTTAAGGTCAGCTTGTGTTAGTCCAGTTTCTGATGAACAGCTGTGTGCTGCGTACACGTTATGAGCCCGAAGCTCTTCTGAAGTCCTCGGGTTGGAGCCAGCTTGTGCCATCAGAGGCGAGGGAAGAGCTGGCCCAGCACGCTGCCGAGGCCGGGTAGAAGAGGGCTTCTGGTCTTCGATCAATGTCTAATACGAGCAAAAGTAGTGCTTCTGTTCTGTGAGTGGTTAGATGTAACCCTGTTTCCCCCCCAGTCAATTATCTTGGTAGCTGGCTATTTGGTTAAGCTTTTCGCTCTTGTACAGATAACTCGGCATGGAAATCTTTAAGCCCTGCTCTCCTGAATACCATGACTTTTATTAAAGAATGATGATTTCATCGACATCTTGGTTTTGCCAATATTTGAGCTGTATGCAAAAAAGATTGTGCTTTTCACTGGCAGTGTCTGAAGTAACCCTTTCCTTTCTTTTATTTTACTTCTACAGGTGTATGAAATATTGAAAAGAACGACATGTACCAAAGCAAAATATAGCATGGGTAAGGAACTTTATTTAGCTTTAAGATCGAAATCATTCTCAGGTATTGAAAAGAATTGCAAGTTGTAACCAGCTGTGGAGTTTAGGTTTCTCGCCTGCTCTCTAATTTGATGTATGTGGATATAATTATTTTATTTGGAAATTTAATTTAATTAACATAGCTGTTTGGAACTCTTTCAAATGTGAATTTATAGATTCAACTCTAAATTAAATGATAAGTGAGCATCTAGCCCCTCCAGATGTTAGTTACGTCATGTGCAGCAGGACTGGATGGTGATATAAACCAGTAGATAATACGTGCCCTGCTTCGGTTCACTTTTACACTCACTGAAGCAAACGAGGGTATTACCATGAATTTCAATAACTGCAGCAAAAGTCTGTGGCTTGGCCCATTCCTTTTAAGTAGGAACCTCGCATTTTTATCGTGGGATGGCTTTTCAATGATTAGAGTGAAATGGTCTTAACTGATGACTGCCCAAAACACTGTCCTAAGTGGAACTGGGATTAACCCAGTGGAATGGCCAAGGACTAAGGCATGCACTGAAAGCTGGCCCATCTCTTAGCCCTCAAAACAGCTATTGCAAGTCACTGGGTGTGAAGTTTGTGCTGCCACGGCCAGTAGTTTTAGGATTTCAGCCTTAGGGCTTGTGCTCTAAGAACTGAATTTGTAATACAGGTAAACGCAAATTACAAATCAGGTCACCTTAAAGATTTGTTGGCAGCTTTTCCTGTTCAGCTGTTATATACTTATTTTATACGTATCGTGATATATAGGTATGTACTTGACTGTAGGACCAAAGTTAACAAATAGTTAATGGTGAACCAAATTATAAAAGGTGGAAGGCTGAATTCCCTCATACCCAAGCTTCTTAACAGACAACCAACAGAAACGAATTTGTATGAGAAAAGTGCATGGACATGGGAGAAAATGTTTGATAACTGTTGGAATCTGTTATAGCATTTATTTGCCTACAAGCAGTTAAATAAAACAATGGGAACTTGAATTACAGGTAGTTCTGTTCAATATTGACCCATCAGCTGCTTAGAAATACATCAAATAATAGAAGAATAATTATGCCAGAAATGATTTTCATGCTTTGACTCTTCGCTTGAAGTAACAACATACAATGTGCAATTGTTGAGTCCTTATATACACTAAATTTTGGTGTTCAGCCAGTATTAACAGAAGTACTGTTTCCCTGTAGCATGGGAAATCCAAATTAATCTGTGACTTTCAGGACCCTTTTCGAGTCTGGTGCTGGATCATTTTCATTGGAAATTACGTATTTGCACTCTTGAAAGGGGAAGGTCATACAGCTCAGTTTGAATTCTTGCCTTGGAGTCGGTTACTCACTTGATTTATTTTTTTTTCTTTCCTTTTTTTTTTTTTTGGTCCAGAAATGGGAAACACATTAGAGATTAGTTGAATAAGGCAGAGGCTAAAGGAAAGTAAAGTGTTAGGATTCCTGGATTGTTCTTCTACCTGAGACTGGCAAGGTCACACCTTACCTAATAAAAATGTCATTAGGCCAGCCTGTCCATGGGTATATTCAGCATAACTCAATCGGGTCCTTTGTGTCCCAGCGCTGGAATGCTGGGTTACAACCCAGCAAAGGTTGCAAACAGATTTGAGCAAACACAGATAATGCTGCAGCATTTCTGCCCAGCAGGAAAAAGGCAGCTTCCCAGTGAACATTGCAGTCTTTGTTACTTATTTTGCAAATTTGTGAAAATGTGATTCGGTCTTTGTTGTTAAATACTGATATGCAGAAGGGTACTATGTAGCTCTTCAGTTGGTCGTACAGCCCTAGAAAAAGAATTTATCTGTTCACTAGTTGTTTCTGCCAGAAGCGTGGAAACATTTGCAGACAATTCATAGTGCTGTATAATCTTAACTAGGACTTTGAAAATTAATGATACTGCAGGATACTGAGCACTCCTGGAGCAGTTCCTCCAGCAGGTGATTAGTATCTCAAAAATGTTAATGAACTTGAAAAATTCTCATTTCAAGAACAATCAAAAATGTCTCAGTGAACCTACAGCGAGCTGTTTGCTGGTTCATAGTAGCTGTTCCTTCAAATCCAGTCCCACACTCTTTTCTTAGCAATGAACTGATGGGCAACATGGAGCACGCTGTAGCACATCATTTTTCTTTTCTTTTTCTAAGCCCTTTCTTTTAAATTCTCCACAATGACAGCGGCCAGGTATTTTTTTAATGGGCATTAATCAGCTTAGCCTTGCACAAAGACAAGTACTTGACTTAGCTCTGATTCAGCACCCAAGACTGGTTCGTTGAATCCCCAAATGTATCCTCCCGGATAACATGACACCTTCAGATGTGGATAATACTCCATAATTGGAAGTAGCTATATTAACGCCAGCAGCTGCAGCAAGAACATTAGAGAAGTAATGTGCTACAGCCCTCAAAGGTCCGGCCAAGTGACCTTTGGGAACGGTGCAGCGAGCCGCAGTGTCGAAGAGCCCCTCACCGTTGTGCTCCTCCAAACTTAGATTTAATTCCTCCCCACCCACCCTCGCCTCCCCTACTCTAGCCCCAAATTAAGGAGCGATACCACACCTGGGAAGGCAGGGGTCCTCAAAGTCCCTCGTGACGCATACATTTATAGATGAAGCATTAATTGCTTTCAGCCTCATGCATGTCACTAATAAACGGATGTGTAAACAGGGAAAGGAGAGGGAAGAAAGAAGGAAACTACCCTTTTAAATAAAAGACGAAAATGTGGTAAATATGGTAAGTATTACGCCAAGGTCTTCGCAAAGGCTTTCCCTACAATTTCTCTGATCAATCTGAAATCTGAATTCAAAACTTTGTGTGAATGATGCGTGCGTATGCGTGTTCCCGTATGCCATCAATTCCAGCCATATTCTTCTTGTGATCGAGCCTTCTGCTACACACTTTCAAATCTGCAGGCTTGCCCTTAAATCAAACTGACTTTTCAGAAAATGTAATTTATTTTAATGATTAATTTCAAGTCATTGGCTTCTAATTCTTGATTCTCAAATATATATGACTTCCTCTTGCTCTCTGCAGTTTTCCATTTCATAAAATGAGTCATGTTTAATAACCTATATGTTTAAAAATGAAACTACATGGAAAGGAATGAGATGGCAGAAAAATCATTATCTGACCAAAAGACTGTTATTTTGAGGGAAATCTCCAGGAAGGATGATAAAGTGAGACCGTCTAACCCCCAAATTGCAAATAACTATTATGTCTTTATTTTTCAAGGTATCACCAGTCTGCTTGCCAATGGAGTTTACAGTGCTGCATATCCTTTGCATGATGTAAGTCATCTTGGAATATATTTTACATGTCTACTATCTGACACCAAGAAATCCTTAATGTGTTACGTATTAATGGCATCATCCCAAACACGAGTGGTTTGGATCCTGACTTCCTGCTCGCTCGTATCACGACTGCAGTAACTTCTGCAGGTAGTTTCCATCGTCCTGCTCGCTTTTAATGAATCCCCCACCTCTGTTCTACCTGTGGAGATCATAAGTGATGTTTGAACGTGACATTAGAAGAGTTGTTTTGGTGCCCTAGCAAATGAAATGCTTCTGTTATTTTCTGACCTTCTGCTCCCAAGGTCCCTGGCATCAGTACTAGGAATTGGTTGCCATTGGAGGAAAAACCATAAGCAAGAATTTGAAGTGACATATTTTATGGGACTGGATGTGACTGCAGACCTTCTTACTGATGAAATCTGCAGTTCAGTAAAATGTCAAGAGTGTGCTCAACTACAGTGTTCATTGAGAGGGTTAGAGAGAAGTAGGGAATTTTGGTGGCACTCGTACCTGAGCTGGGGATCCCCATCCTGCCGGAGGTGCACAACAGTTGGATGCTGATGACATTTTTACTTAGAGGTTCAAGGTACGACTAGAACCGACAGAGACATGCTTTTAGCTAGACCCTTAAAGAAAGGCCTGACAGATGTCAAGGGGACGTGGCAGTCGCGCTGCTCACGATGTACTGGCTGTGTGAGCGTACAAGGGCCGTCGAGCCTGGTGCCGGTTTTCCGGCGTGGGATGCGAAGATGAAGTGTGTCTTCCTAGTTTTCTGCTCCCCTCACTCATGCTGGTTTTATACAGGACTGCAAATGTTTTATCTTGGTGTAACTGAGACCAGAACAGCCTCTTTATCTGCCTGATGTTTATCATAAATGTCAAGCACTCTTAAACTACAGCAATATCAGTTAGAAATCCAGAAAGGTTAAATAAACTTCTCTGCGTGTACTTGTCTCGTGTCTCTAGACAGCTACTGATAGTCTTGTATATAAGTTATTTACTGTCTTAGTTTACTCCTTTATCGTGTTTAAAAATAGCTCCAAATTAAAACCTCAAATCTAATCAGCCCTGAGTGTTTGGAGAGTCTGGATAGGGATCAGCTCTCTCAGCTGGTCTCTTCTCGTTCAAGTGGACTGAGCTGAACCCCGAATACCGTGGCAATACCGCATCCTTTCCCTTGACATTTTTAGGCCACCTTTATCACTTATTCATTCCTTTTTCCCCAGTGACAGATATTATTACTCTTTCTTAATGTGCCTGATGACAGAAGACAAAGTGTGCTATGACAAATGAACTCCTAAAATACAGCATTATTTTACAGATTGTTTTTTCTGGTTTTGATGCATTAAGTGAGTGGGATACATGGGTATGCAAGATGCATAGCAGCTCTGGGGATGACTCACTCAATGATGCAGATTTTCTTTTTTTTTTTTTTTTTAAAGGGTGACTATGAAGGTGAAAACGTTGAACCTAATGACAGAAAAGTAAGTTGATACAAAGGGGGTTTAACATATTTGCAAGTCGCCTGTTGGAATCTGGACATTTGCCAAGATTTCACAGAAAATACCGCAAAAAGACACTAAATGCCAAGCAGCAAAAGTACAGAAGTACTTTCCAGTGTTTAAATTTGCCTGAAATTGGAATGCAGTATGGATAGGTATAAATTACCAAGCTTAATAATGATACATTTCTTGCCATGTTGGTAAGAGTATTGACAGCATTTACATATAACTCCTCCGAAAGTTCAGATGGTGTAATTTCAGGCCAGCTCTGATGAGACTGTGCTCAGTCATGTTCTAGTACCCGTAGCTGACATAAATCCTACTTTGCTTGACGGCCAGCTCCGGTCTCAGCACTGCAACCTCTGCTGAATTAATGTGCTGCTGGGATCAGAATTTGGCAGCAGGGTGGGGGGAGGAGGGAGGCAGCTGAAAACATAAGCGTAAAAGTTATTGGGAAAGATAAAGATTGAATATTTATCAGAAATGAGACATTCTCAGCAAAGCTTTAATGCGCACTGTTCAGCCAGAAGCTGCCCTGTGGATGTGTACTGATGCATTGCATCACTTTTCACATAAGTCTGTGGTTTAAATTGTGTTTTTATTGTCTGTATACTGAAAGACATTTGTTCATTGTAGTAAAATGAATAAGAATTAGAAATTCTAATTACGTTTCATAAGAAAAAGCAAATTTTTCACCCTCTGCAGAAATGTTGGTTTCTTAAATTCAGAGCGCAATTACTACATACTCCCGATCACACTTCTCTAGAGAAGATAGGCTTTTTTTCTGTGTATCAGACAAAAACTGAAGGGGTTACGACCAGTCCCCTCAGGAGGAGCTACTAAATTTGGGTGCCATATATGCTGGCCTTTCAGACTTGAAACTTTGCCTTTCCAGTTTGTTTCATGGTCCCGTCTCCAAAGAAATGCTGGGGACATGCAGGTCATAGGAAATGTAGACCTAAGGTTCTTCAGGTTGGTCATATAAAAATAGGTACCCAGAATTAAAGGTTTGCTGGGCCTTAAGGTGCAAATGGCTTATCAAAAAGACAGCAACTGTTATTTCCTTCCCTCTATTGATTTGTGTTAAAAATACCATGTACCTGTTTATTTCATTATTAGGCAACACATTGCTCAACCAAAAATAGGATGAAAGTCCATGTTTTCTCAAAGCATCTGGATTATCATCTTCATTACTAACTTTTCAAACCTCCCAAATTCACTCATTTCAGAAGTTCACTGTGTGTTTGGAAATGTTTACCTTGGCTTTTGCCTTCCAGTTCCCTCAAATAATCTTTTGGTGTGTTTTGGCATGTCTCTTCTGGTTTCTTGCAGCTTTCTTTAATCTAATCCAGTGCTAGGCCAGGCTTGTGCCTTTTTTAACAACAAAATTAAAGATTTGAGGCATAGAAATGAAGTAAATATTTAGGGCTAGTGCACTGATCTCCTCTAATCATGTCTTTGAAGCTGTGCTTTGAATATCAGGCTGATAAATGTCAGGATAAATGAGATAATTGTTTGTACTTTAGGCACAAATTTGGTTTGAAGTGTTGTACAAAATTGAAACATGGCACTGATGCAAAATCTCCTTAGCTTAGTATTTTCCTGATATGTCTGACCAGCTGAGATCACAGAAAAGGAATCTAATTTCCAGCACAAATTTAGCTTGTAAAAATTAAGTAGAAAAATAATAGAAGGAGGGGTCTTAGCTAGTGCACATGGATGTTGAGATGTCCCAAACCATTAATTGTTTCCCAGACATCAGCAGCTGGCCTTAAACGTTTGGAAAACGTGGTTGAAAGAAACCTAAAGCAGAATAAAAATAAAATTTGCAAGAATGTTGCTGTTTAATAAAGGCCTGCCTTGAGATTTCAGTTTCTGCTCTTACTATTGTAAGGCAACCAATAAAGATTAATGATTTTGGGTTGCAGAGAGGAAAATCCACAGTCCACTTATATTTTTGACGTCATATTTCTGTAAAAGTAAAGAAGCTGTATTTTTTGAATGACTCGAACCATTTGCACGAGAAGTACAGCAGTTCAGCTTGGAAAGTTTGTGTTAATGATTTGGCAAGAGAATTGCAAAGCTGCTCTAGAAACGCTGTTCGCTGTACGACTTCTCTGTGATAAAATGGGAGAAGTAGGAATGGGTACGGGCAGCAGCGGGACTCCCAGTCTGCCCTTTCTTGCTTTGCTGCATTTCACTGGAGAAATGTAGGAGGCTGACATATGTTGAGTTTCTCATGATAAAATAGCCTACGGATTTAAGCAATAACATCCTGTTAGGTCTGTTCTTCTATGAACAAGATTAATAATGTTGCCCTCCCTGTAATGATAACTGGTTTAGGTCTTGGTTCCCCGTTGCAGTTTCTTCCACAGCTGAGCTGGTTGTGCAGCCCTCGCCCACCGATGGAGGTTTGTATAACCAAGCTCTCAAGTTTTCTGCCCTTTTTTTTTTTTTTACCCAAAGTTCGATGAAAAGAAATACCTCGGCAATAATCAATTCATGCACTTATATTTGAGGAAAAAGATGATGTTGTTGCCAGATGAATTAATGAAAACAGAAGTGACCATCAAAGCATCTCCTTGAACTATCAGTCGTTGGTCCAGGAATATCCTGCTAGCAAGTTCATGTCGCTGGGTTGAAGCAGGGAGAGAAGCAGAAAAGGGAGACCTGACTTCACAAGCAGAACCTGTAAACCTTCTCTTCCCCTTGTCCCACCTCAGAGGAGGTGATGGCTGGCCGGCCAGCGAGCACAGTTTGTCTTCTCCAGTATTTTTTGTACACACACTGAGTTCTCGGTCACTCTGTTAGCTGAACTGAATTAAGAAAAAAATCAGATCTGAGAAGCGCTATTTATGTATTTTATGAAGTAAACGATAAGTTGAAGGTCTCCGAGGAACCTATTTTTGTGAGGGATTCAATTTTATAAATCACTAATGGGGATCATTGTTTTCCTTGGCCCATATCCTGACCAAAAGGATGAGTGGAAACCATTGTCATCTTTTAGTTTAAAGCTGAAAAACTATTAAATGCAGCCTTTAAGGCATCTCTGCACAGCACCTCTTGATGGATGCTGAATATTATAGTTTGTGTAGTGAAAACAAACCAGTTTATTCTAGTCTTTTTCTGTCTCATAACTCAAAGCATATTCTTTTTTCATATCCATTCTGCTGGATACCTTCTACGGATCATAAAATCGGGACTCCTCTCCCCATCCCTGCTATAGTTATCCATCAGTCCAGTTGCTGAAGAGCCTTTTAATATACTGGAATTCATCACTGTATTATAGCATGCCAAATGATCAAATTTGTTTTTAATACTTAATGCAGACCGCGTGTATTGGCAGATTACGGGTTGAAACCACAAAGCGGTGAGACCGGATCCACTGCGTGAGCTCTGCAGTTTGCTGGCACCAAAGGAGAAAACCCTCGCGTACGCGGTGCTTTAGCTTTCGCCTTTCTGTTTTACAGCTCCTGTGCGAGGAGTGGGCGAGCTACGGCGTCTTTTATAAATATCAGCCGATTGACCTGGTGAGGTGAGAGTTCAGCCCTCCGTGTTGCGTTTCCATGGGGCAGCGCTGAAGCTGTGCACAGTGATGCGGGACTCCAGAGCATGGGAAGTTCACTGGGGGAAAAGGAGTTTTCTGTGGGTTTAGAAACACGCTGATGTATCCCACCTAGCGTGAAAGCTTGCAGGGGACATACTTTTAATGAATTTTGTTTGCTCGTGGTGAGAGCTGAGACTCGTTGGAGAAGATGAGGTGTTTTTTTAAGAGGATTAGCTCACAGAAGATCCAAAGATACAATTTACACAGCAGAAACACGGGGGAAAAAAATGATTAGTTGGACTCACTTGCTTTCATGGTGCCTGTATCTCTGGATTAACTCCAAGCATCATGAGAAAGAGAGTCCTCTGAGAAGAAAGAAATTCCCACAGGTCATCAGATCTTACTTGTCTGTGCTTAATCCAGCTGTGATTCGTAATTTTAGCCATGTTATATTTTAAGAAATAGGAAACATGTCTCTCTCTCATTTCTTTTTTAAACTTTATTTCAGAAAATACTTCGGAGAGAAGATTGGACTATATTTTGCCTGGCTGGGAGTTTATACACAAATGCTTATTCCAGCTTCAATTGTAGGGATTATCGTTTTCCTATACGGCTGTGCAACTGTGGATGAGAATATACCAAGGTAAAATAAATAAATAAACAGATTCTATTATTTGAGGCAACTAGAAACTCAAACACTGCCTTTCTCTAGAAATGTTTTGTCACTAATACCTAGGGCGAGCACAGCTGAAACTGGGGCTCCCAGTTTCTAGGGCTTGCCCTGTGCCACCCACAGCCCGACACCCCGATCCATCTTTGCTGGCTGTGGTTTCCCGGCTCTGTTTGCCAACTGGCACTTGCTGGAATACGGTGTGCTCCCACCGCTCTCCCTCCTCTCGCCCTGCACGCTTTGTCTTTTGGAAGCTGTGCTTAAAATGAAGCCACCTCTGCAGGGATGGGGAAGTTTGCAGTCCCACCAATTTCTGCTTCCAGTAAGCGATGGAGTGCTACCAAGGGCTGAGAGTGGGCAGCAGAACTGCAGCACATTTTTAAATCGTTAGCATTTTTCGTTCATATTACTTGTGGAGTTTGCATTGATGTACTAAAAATAATTCTTGGCCGGTTGCTCAGGTAGTTGTGTGGGTTTTTTTTCCTAACTCAGATCATTATGTTAAAACAAACCAACAAAATACTGCTAATGATAGGTTTAGTGCTTCCCATCATAAAATGCTGAGGAGGGCATTGTGTGACATAAAGATGAATCAAGAATATACATGCCTAAAATAAGCAATTTGGTCACATTAACAAAATCTTGATGTCCTCCTATTTTTAATTTTTTAGTCGGTTTTGTATTGTAATATTTTTGAAGCCCTATGATTTTGCATTATTTTTTCATCATCAGCTGCAGATGAAAATTACATAGTTTGTACAACAACCATGAGCCCTGAGTAACAGAGCAGATAATGGATATCGAAAAAATAGATATTTTTTCTGTTCATGAAGATTGCTTTGTACTGCTTCCAACAGTTGAAGAAAGTCAAAGGGAGGGTCACTGTTGCTATTTCACAGATGGAGTGCATAGAAGAGAAATTGGTTGAACTCCAGTCTCTTGATACTCAGCACTTCCCTTGTACCTTATCTATTGCTGTAGTTAGTATTTCAAAACAATAATTTTTTTTTTTTTTTTTTTTTTTTTTTACCGTAAGATCCTATAGTAGAAAGCATAGAGCCTTATGCCTCTCATAATGCTCTCTTTTATTCCCTGGAATAGACGTAGGGCTGGGGATGGAGGGAGAGAGCAGCCTCGCGCGAGGATTTTGGCCCCTCCAATGGTGCAGGTTCCGAACAGAGCTGTGAGCTGGGGTGCGAGCTGGGAAGCGCTGTGAGGGTAGTGTCTGATGGTCCCACAGACCAGAAACAGATGCTGTGCAGAGGGAAAAAGATCATCGGAGCATGGAAGATGGAGCCGTACTGACAGTGCTTTGTCCATATCTTGTTGCTTCGTTGCAGTATGGAAATGTGTGACCAGAGAAACAATATCACCATGTGTCCCTTATGTGACAGAACATGCAGCTACTGGAAGATGAGCTCCGCTTGTGCGACTGCTCGCGCAAGTCATCTGTTTGATAACCCCGCAACTGTCTTCTTCTCTGTCTTCATGGCTCTCTGGGGTAAGAAGATATATGCCTTCATGTTAAGTTTTTAATTATTTAAAATACAACAGGAAGAAACAGAAGAGATAAAGCAGTGTATTTATACTCAGGCAGTTAATTATATAAAGAACTCTTTTTTTTTTTTTTTTTCCTTTTTTTTTTTCCCCATGAAACTGTTACCCCCAAATTTATATTCTGGACTGAAGGCTAAAATACAAAAAGTTGCTCAAGATGAATATCAAATGAAATTGTTAAGCATCTGTCATAAAACTGCTGCGTGGTATGTCAAAATTTCATTAACAGGATTGCACAGCTTGCCAAAAAAAAAAAAAATATCTATTTGCAGAGCCAGCTTCCACTTTAGAACATTACAGAAGAAATGTATTAATGTACTCTGGGGTTGCGGGGAGGGCTCCACAGGGAAGTGTAATGGCCTTTAGCGTCTCAGGACAAACCAAGATTGATTCTTGAGTGTGCTCCGAGATGCAATTAAGTTTATCAGCAGGCAGACATCATGCATGCGGACCGTGAAGCGGGAGCAGTGATGTTATAGGTATTTTTTCTGAGGCCGACCGCTCCTGTAGTTTGAGCATGTCACTTAACCTTTCTTGGCACGTCTGTAGAACGTGGTTAAAAAAATTAACCCTCTCATGAAACCTTTGTGTGAGTGTCTTCAGGAATGGTTATCAAGGGCTTTTCTCCTCCCTGCTGGAGGAGGGATGGAGACCTCCTTGCTCGGGCACCCCAGCACCAGGCGTGGGTGCTGGAGGAGGGGAGCCTCCCGTCATCCTCGCTGCGGCCAAGAGAGCCTCTTAAGGTAAAAGGGAACCCAGGGGCTCCAAAACCCATGTTTGTAACTGGGAGCTCTGTACAGAGAGGCTACAGAGAATAAGGAAATGTGCATTATTCCCCCCGGCTTTGAAGTTTGATAGCCACATACTCCCAGCATCAGTGAGAGCAGCACAAGATGATGTTTGCCCCTCCTGTACGCCTTGTTGCGAGTTAGCAAATAACTTGTTTTGGATTATATTTAATCCTAAAAGCGTAGCCCGAGTTTTTATTTGTTCTAGTATGTAGGGAACCATTCATACATTAACGTTCATCTGAACTGATCTGAGTACAATTCAACGTAAATCAATTTAGAGCAGTGCCTTTTTGGCCAGGGTCTCCGTTTGAGATGACTATGTTTTAGGTGCAATGCTAAGAGCTCATGATCAAGTATTGTAAGGAAAAGGACAAGGGCAGTCCCGCAGAGGGATTTTGGGAACGGTGGGGAGTCGGGAGCACTGCATGTTCGGAGGGAAAGCTAGGAAATGTGGGGAGGTTGAACGCAACCAGCTTCGCAGCAGAGAGGAGAGATCACTGTCTTACAGATCACTTGCCGTGTAGCATATAGGGAGAAATGTGATAACCCCAGAGCAGGGTGCCGTGTCAGAGACTTTAAATAGTGTGATTCTCTCACGTGGAGAGTCAAGTATCGGTTTCGGTCTCCCTTATTTGTCATTATTGTGAACCCCACGTGGATCTCGGCACATAATACTCTGTTGTCCAAAAAGTAACTCTGTTTGCCTCCCTTTACCTTAGCAAAAGACTATGAGTCCTTCCATCCATTTTTTATGTTCTTGGGCAAAGTAAGGCAGATTGGCAGAAGCCAGTTTCTGTGCTCTCTACAAAATCAGGCTTAATATCTGAGATGATAGTTTTGGAGTGGGATGTGAAATTCCTCAAGTTCTTCGGGGTCAACATGAAATTTTATTGTGGTACAATACCATATAAAATAACTGTTGTGTCAAAAAGTTCTTTTTGAATTGGGAAAATCAGAGATTTTTCCACATCGTTTTGAATTTGCGTTATCGACAATTTCATTTCTAAAGAAATTGTTCAAAACAATTTTAAAAAAAATCAAAGCAGCACTTTATTTTTTAAGGAAATGGTATCAACAAAAATTGGCTGTCTCCAAATGTAGGCACACAGATAGTCCTCAGTGCCATTTGTGAGCACCTCTGCATGTAGTGAGAAGGTTTGTTAGGTTCACGTACAGTTGAAGAGTTGAGGCAAACCCAAGTAACCTGCTCAGGTGGCCCAGGGCATCCTTAGCATAGCAAGAAAATTAGCTCAAGTTCAGGGGTATTATTGTGAGCAACTGTTTGGCCGGGCTTTCTCTGTATGGTGGTAGTACTGTAACACCCTGGAGAACTCCACTCACGCAAGCGTTAAAACAGCTATAGCACCGAACCTGAGCCCCGGTCAGAAGTTCAGCATTAAACATGGACTGTGGCCCAGTGCGGTTTGGTATTAAATGGCATTAAAAATGTCAGAGAATCCAGATAAGATCATCTGGACAGTAACCTTTTGGAATTTTTAAGCTCCGCTTATGCTTATGGGCCCAGATGAAAAATGAAAATGCGGGTACTCTTGGCAAAGCAGTGGTGCATCTCTACCTGGCATGTTCACTGAGGGCTTTTGGAATGAGCTGGCTGTGTTTCAGATGCAAGTCTTTTCATTTTGCATTGTTGTAAGTCAGTGCCACGGAAGGATATCTAGTAGCGCTGACAAACGAATTCTCGTTCATTTTCCGTATTTCTTGCTGTACATGGAAGCTGCAGATCCCGGCACAAGAACTGCCGGCAGCAGGGAGTGGGGAGGCAATTCCAGGACCATGACACAGACCCTCTTAAGATACAGCTATGGCCATCCCAATTTACAGGAAGCCTATGGCTTGTTAGGGGCTCAGTTGTAAATTTTGCATGGGAGGGTTTCGCAGTGAATGTTGTGACTCCAGCCTGGTTCCAGTCATGGGGATGTCCTTTCCTCTCTATTCGACTTTCTTACCCTCTCCCTGGCTCTGGTTTTTCTGGATATGAATGTTTCTGAGCACATCTGTTAATACTCACTGCGGGAAACTCCCTTGGGAACACCATTTCTTGGTAGACTTGCCTCTTTCATAATCACTTATTTATTATACAGCACTGGTGTATTCCCAGCATCTAAATATGTCCTCTGAGAACTTGCTCGGTCTCAGGCAGATAGACTGATATAGACCGGGATCATTCGTTGTGACTCAAGAATTGCTTTAATGAGGTTTCTTTTGTGTAAGTCTTCTCCATCAGAAAGAAAATGGCAGTGTTTCTAGTGCTAAAACCCCTTAAAGGCTTCCTCTTTAACAGCCTGTCCACCCGCAGCTTTCACACTGGCGTGAGCGTTTGGGCTTGGGTGTGATGATTAGAGCTAACCATACTATTATGACCACTTGATGGAAGTAATTACAACAATATAAAAATGCTTTATCTTGATATCTTTGAGGGAATAACTATCCTATCGGTACAAGGCTAATTAAGTCAATCATATTTTGTATAGATGAAACACAGGTTTGTTTGGGCTTATGGATGGATTATATGCAGTTGAAGACCAACAATATCAGTAGTCACATATACAATACTTAAGTAAGTTTGGGTGTCTGACTTTCTTACACCCGTTAAAAAACTGGAGGCATCTCTCTACATGAAGCTGTGGATGTAATAAATGCCCTTTCTTTCAGCTTGCCTAGATAAAAAAGTTTGGCTCACTAGCAGTGTTAATCGGTATTTCCCAGACAGACATTACTGTTGAATAAGAGTAGCAAAAATGAAGTTATCCTGGCCCAGTATATATGATATCGCACCCGCTGAGACCTTTTGGAGGCAAGAGCCTGCAGACGTACAGCAGGCAATGCGGAGCATGGCCAGCGTGCCTCTTAAGACAAATCCCAGAGACTGATGTGATTTTTTTTTTTTTTAAATGTTGGAAATAATTGTTGAACTGTTGTTTCAGCTGCCACCTTTATGGAACACTGGAAGAGAAAACAGATGCGTCTCAACTACAGGTGGGACCTGACTGGGTTTGAAGAGGAGGAGGTTTGTCCTTTCAGTTCTGACTCTTTGACTTCCACCGTGGCGTTACCGATAGCTCCTTGCCCCGAACCCATAGACGTTGCCTCACAGGGAACTGCTCTTGGGGCGGTTCCGTCATTTAGAAGAAAGGAAAATCTCTGTACATGAACGATTCGAGATTTTTATAGCAAGGGTATGACTAGTATGTCTTGTTGCCATAGAAATGTAATTGTATAGCCACAAAAACTTTTTTTTTTTTTTTTTTGAAGTGTGTAGTCGGGTCACACCTAGCAGCGTAGGCATGGAATGTACAGCTCAGACCTTACTGCTGGGCTGATGTCAGGGTGCTAACAACTAAGGACCTCATTCATCTCATGCTGCTGTAAATCAGAAATGAATGTATTGAAGTCGATAAAGTTACAGCACTGTAAAAAAAGCACTGAAAAATTCCTATGAACTTTAACGATGCAGGATCAAGCCATGACTTGGAAAATACCTAAGAAAATATTGCCAGACATGTGGGCTTGGGGCACTGGGAGGGACACAGTGTGGGAGTGTGTGGGGGGGTGGACACAGTGCTAAAAAAAAAATATCCCTAGCCAGGTTTACATTAAATGTGTTAAATAGCATGAAGGGGAAGAGAGCTGAATCTGTATGAAATAAAGGTCTTAAAAATCAATGGAGTTTCAGAAGGAAAGGAGGGAACATCCTCAGCCGGCTGAGAAGCTGTATCCCACCTTTGGGGGTTTTAATTTTGTCGCTTTACAAAAAAAAAGGAGACGCCTTCCTAGACCATAACGCAGTCCCGGCCCCGACAGCCTTGCCCTGGACCGTACTGCGGTTCCGAGGCAGCGGAGGCTTGCAGGTCCCTTCCATTTTCCCATCATTTGTGATGAGCTGTGCTGCAAAAACCCCGCTGTGGGATCTGAGCTAGGACCCACGGGTTGTACAGGCGTTCACTGCTTTGTTTCCTGGACGGCTGGCTTTTTTTTTTTTTTTTTTTTTTTTTTTTTTTTACTGTTGTTATTATTAAAAGAAGTATGACCGCCCTTGTCATATCTCTAGATGTTCTAAATAGATACACAACAAATATTGCTCATGTGAAACAAAAACCTCACCAGCCCTGGGTTTAACACTATGCAGCTTGATGAGCCTGGCACAGTTACTGTTCCCCTCGCCTCCAAAATCTTTCTGCTTGAATTATCTCCTCTTAATATGTTTATCTCCTCCATAATATATTTAGGCACACTATGCTAGCAGCCCCTATGCTGTGTGCTTTGCTAGATCATACCTATTTTACTGGGAGAGAATATAGGGATTTATTTCCTGGATACTGTACTGCTCTTTTATTTTTGGTAACTTGTTGTTAGCATACATGAAAGTAGAAAGGATTAACTGTATCTTTCCAGTGTCTGTCCCCTTCGTGTCTGAGTTCAGAGCTCTTGCACAGCTAAAACAGCAGCTGTTAATAAAGTATATTTTATTCTTTGTTTTGTGTAGTCAATGTTAGGTAATACAGTCATGGGTTTAGCAAAGAATTGAAGCCCCTCTTATTTCTGATTGAGGTGAAACTTAAGCTAGTATCATGTTGAAGAATCAGGGTTTCAAGTGAAATACTAAAACCCAAAGTGTCTAATCTTCTGGTGTTTTAGGGACACCTAGTTCATACAATACTTATAGTAATGTTAATAAATGTTGTAGAACATGAGTAGAGTGATTTTCTCTGGTAGTGTCTAGCCATCCACTGTACTTATGTTTGTTTCATGTAATTTAAAAAATATAAATCCAATATGATCTGCAACAGTTCAGTAATTTTTGTTTTTTTGTTTTTTTGTTTTTTTCTTGTTTTTCGTGTTTTTTTTCTGGTTTCCTGAAGGAGGCAGTCAAGGTTTGGAAAACATTTTTTTTTTTTAATTGCTCCTACCTTTTTTTATTACATGTCTACTGATGAATGCCATCTTTTGATCTCCACCTCTTCTTTTTCAAGCATCAGATTTTCTTTAGATCTCCCACTGATTGCTTTGCCTTTACACCCTCCCCCTCTCCACTTGTTCAGACTTTTTTCAACTCCGTTCTGTTTCCCATCCGATGCATAATTGTGAATTCTGAATCTTTTGTTGAATGCGTAATTATCGTGAATTCTGAATCCGTGAATCTTTCTGAATCTTTTGGCTGTCTCTTACTTCTGAGTGTTTCCTACACCCTCTCCTTCAATGCATACGGGTCATCTGTGGATGCTGTCCAAGACAGGATTAGGGGAAGACCCCAACTGACAATTTTCTGAGATCCCAAAGCCAAGTATTTTGCATACTTACAGCAGATAACTGTTTCCCTCATGAGCTGAGGATCACTGCAGTTACAGTTAATGATGTGCAAAATCTAATTTTTATTGAAAAGATAGGTAATTAAAATCCAATCATAATGTCACTTGGTATGAACCATGCTGTCTGCAGGTTGTGCTGTATACTCTCATGTATTAAATTTAATCTACATCATGTTGCACATGAGTGTCTGATAGTGAGTCCAGATCATTCTGCAGTTGCTGCTGTAGAACTGTGAATGATATGGGATTTAACTTTTTTTTTTAAATTACGGTCAACTGTCAGTTGACATGAATGACATACCAAGTGAATTAGAATTCAGTTAGAAAACTCAGAAATTATCCAGAAATTGACCTGCAAACAGTTCATAGGTAGCTGATATAGAAAATAAATAATTTTGCTTTTTATTAAATATGACTTATTTCGCAGGATCATCCAAGAGCAGAATACGAAGCTAAAGTTTTAGAAAAATCACTGAGAAAAGAACACAAACATAAAGAGGTATGGTAAAAGTATTCATTTGTTTTACTTATAAAAGACTTGAAAAAGAAGATCGTTAGAGCAGGCACTGACCCAAGACTAAGAAATAGGTAAAAAATAGAGTCACTCCACATTGTGTTTAAATTCCAGATGTCCTTGGTCCTAGCATATGGGGGATACTGGGTGTACGCCAGTGCTCAAGACCTGACTATGTCCAGAAATGTCTTTGATAATTAGATACAGGAGTGTGGCTTAGGGAAGCTAATTGAGCCCGATTGAAGGGCACTCCTGTTAGGCTAACGAATCAAGTTTGAGAAAACTGTTACAAACATCTTATTCTGTGCTAATATAAGTACCTAAAGGCTCTCAGGAGAGGTTCTCTCTTGCTAGACTTTGTTTGTAAATAAAAATATTACTAGAGCATTAATGACGAGTACTAACACCAATTTCCTTGCCGAAATCCAGCTTTGATAACTTTCTGCCTTTTAAAAACATAACTTCCATTTTATTCCACTGAATAAGGTAGTGCTCACTTCTGCTTTTATCTTGCTCTTTACATTGCCATGAAAAAGGTGCTGCCGGTCATCCCAGGGGCACGTGCATCTCGCCAATGGACGGTGCGATCCCCATGAGCAGCTTCCCTGCCCTTTTGCTGAAGGCTGTAATTCCTTCCCTATTACTCTCTGTCAGTGGCAGACCAATCTGAAAAATCTCCTTTTCTCCCCTCCATCCTGGTTTCCACCCTACCAGAAGTTATTCCCCCTTAACTGCAAGAATCCAGCTGTTTGTGTGACCGCGTTTTTAAGGAGAGAAGTAAAAGCTCCAGCATAAACAAAACCTGTTGGCAGCAATTCCTCTTTTGTATCTGTTCCCAGTGGCACAGTAGCATGGAACCGTGCCCTAAATTGGGACTTTATGAAAACCTTACGAAAATACAACTGCAATAACCACATTAACGTGAAATATGCTTTAAGAGACATTGGATAGATTGGACTGGTGTCTAACTAAATGTGTCCGATATTGTCACGTGCTTATACTTGAGTAACTCAAGTACTGTTGGGCCCCTCTTAAAAGATACTACAAAGCTGACGGTGGTATGTTCCCATTAATCTATAGGATGCCAAGTGTAAGTAAGTGGTTCAGTGTCATAAGCAACACCTTACTCGCAGCACTGCTTTAAAATCCCTTGCAGAAGAGAAGGAATTTGGGTTGCTGCCCTCTTATGTGCTGGATAAACAATGTTCGAATACAGACTTTGTTGTATTCTGTTAAAAACGTGACTCCCTGTACCTTTGGGTATATTAGGAATTCAGATCTTAAATGTAGAAGACTGTAGGGGAATCAGACAATTAATGAATGGTGGCCTCCAAATATTAGAGTATGAAAGCTTAGCAATTAAGAGAGGATTTTTATTTTTTTTTTAAACCAGACTATTTATAACTTTCTGGGCTGTGTTCAGTTTGGATGTTACTAATTTGGGAAACGTGAGAAAAGGAGTTTTTTCTGAAAGACTTGGTAATTATCTTTCATTGGGATCTAGAGTGTTAAAGTTCAAATTCAACAGTTGTTGAAAGAGTTGTGTTTCTTCTTAAAGAAAAAAACCCTAAAGCTAAACCAGAGATTGCTCTTATTTTTTTCAAGAGAAGTCCAAATAAAAAAAACATATTTTTTAAAGGAAAAACTTTTTGGATGTTCTTTATACATCATAATGGAAAAAGAATGGCACAATCCTAAACTATAAAGGGAATATCCTTTGCAGGATCGCTTGATCTACCCCAGGATTTGGGGCAAGAATTTGTCTTGTTGTTGTTGTTTTATTAACCTAGAGCTGAAACACAAAGCCTTAAGCAAACTAACAGAGCATTCACTTGTGGCTAAACTGCTATGTACACTGAGTCAGTAGAGAGTATATAGATTAATTTAGCAGTGCTTTGTAATGCTATATTGCCCGATCCTTTTTTTGTTTCCTTTGACTGCCATCAGAAGCATCGGTATTTTCCAGAAGAGACAGCAAACAAATGGAGAAAAAGAGTTAAGACAGTCATGGCTGGGGTGAAATTGGTTCTTTTTATTCAAACTTATGAAGAAACTCAAATTATGAGTAATTATGGAAGACACAAATCAATTTGTTTTTGGCTGTTGAACCTTTGTTTAATATTCACATTCAGTTCTGGGTTTCTTCCCCTCCCTCCCCTTGTTTCTTCCACACTCTTTGGGACACTGTTTCTATGCATTGGGAATGGCACTGCATGGCTAATCTTAGATTTACCATCCTGGACGGACGTTACGTTTTGCAGTGGAGCATGGGCCGTGTGTTGAAAGAGTTGCTTGCACTTCCTTGAGACAATGTGCATGTAATAAAAATAGAATTTGATTAATATTTTTACGTTCATTATAACGCGTGCATCATCTTACGTAATGTTCCTTTTGTTGTTTATTTTCTGGTGTTTAGAAACAATTCCCGGCATCAAAGTTTATGAAGGACTCTAGATGAGCAATACTGTTCTAAATGAAATTTTTATAGCCAAGTTCAGGCAATACCTGGTTGACTGGATTTAGGGTATCCTATAAAGAATTATTTATTATACATGTGCATCTTAACTCCTATTGGCGTGGTCCATTGAATACCACGTGGATAGTCAGGTAGTTAAAAATCACTCATATTGAAGGAATTTCAAGTCTTATCACACACCAAAACAAGACCTTCCCTGTCAACTGTGCATTCATCTTGGAGTCGCTCAGTCGCGTACTTAATCAGTGGAACCAGTTGTGCAAATGCAAAGCTGCAAATATTAACTGGGGAGGGAGAGAGGAAGAAGGAGAATTTTTCTAGGGAAAGCAAAAGAAAATATTTAACAGTAAGAGAGATCTTACTTCATGGTTTATGACAGCCTATTTGCATGTTTCCTTCAAAAAGTATACAGAAAAATCTGGTTTATTTATACTCGCAGTGCAGGCGCTTGACCAATTTGAACCTAGATACGGAGTAAACAATTTGCCTGTGTGGAATTGTAACTGTAAACACTGTGGTTTTGCATCTTCTAACTGGTTGTGTATTTGCTAGCCTTTTCTTCCCCCTCTGTTTTGCAAAATCACACACTCCATCTTTATTAAATGTACCCTTTTTTCTCCCCAAATTTTAGACAGATAAAGAAAAGCTGACATGGAAGGATCGTTTCCCAGCCTATTTAACCAATTTTGTTGGCATTATCTTCATGGTAAGCATAACCTGGAAAAAACTGAAATTTATGTTACCGAGTCATTGTCTAGAACAGAAGTGATAGAAAAGTTAGTGAAACAGTGACAGACGTCATCAGATTGATTTGATTTGCAATGGCTTTTCCCCGGTGAAAAAATTCAAGCATTTTATTGTTTTATAATCTAAAATCTTTTCAAGAGCTTGGATTTCTACTTTGGTCTCTCTCTGCAGTAAAGAAATAAGAGTACCTGAATAGGGTAGGGGAAAAATGAGGGCACGGACACGGAAATTACCAGCACCATTGATGGGACAAAACTTAAAAACTACAGAGAGTCCTCTTGGAAAATAGTCAGGAAATAGAGAATGGCCTCATTTTTATACCAAACTTCTTTGAAAGAAATGAGGTGGCCAATTGCAATCCTGATGGCAAGGATTTTTAATGCATCAGTCAAATTTGGGGTTATACCCTCTAACAGGAGAATTGCAAACAGAGCACTTATTTCAGGAAAAAGGTAAAATAATGACAAGAACAGCCTTTTTCCATTTACTGATAAAGCATCAGCATTTAAAACAAATTTTGAAGGAAATAATAATGATTCAAGACATGGAACAGATTGGGAGATGAATAAAAAAGCTTAAGCCCTTTCCAAAGGTAGAATATACTGGACTAACTCAGCATTTTTTTTAGCAGGGGATAGGGATTATGGTTTGGTGTTTGGGTTTTTTTTAATATTTGTGTTTTCAGAGAATGGGAATGCAGTAAATCTGATCTTCTCAGCTGAAGAATCAATACCTTATAAGAATCACATTTTAAAATTATTCCTCTATTTAAGCAATGAAAAATTGAGAAAGATTTTGTGCACCTTTACATTGCCAGGAAGTACATTGATTTATTCAGATTTAATTTCAGTTTGGGATTATGACAGCATAGTGAACCTGTGTAGGGTGTTTAAAGGCTTGTGTGCAGACTTAAGCTGAAATACTCCTCTCTGCTTCAGCCCTGGCTTTCTTTTATAATAAAGCAAACCCACGCATATATGCTGTTGCTGTTAGGGCTGAAAGGAAGCCCGCTAATACTTTTAATATAAGCAAGTAGTTTACATTTAGGTGCCTTTAAAAAAAAGCCTTTTGCATGTGATTGTGGCATCATTGTATCAATTTTTTCATGTGATGATCAAATTACTAGCAAAAGAGGATCTTTTTCCACAGTTCATCAAAGCGATTGGGAGCCTTGATGCAGAATTGGGTGGACTTGGGATGTGGCCCATTTTTAAGGTCATTGCTAAGTCCCAGGCAAAGTATTTATAGTTATATCTTTCATAAGAGGCTGTGCTGTTCTTACTTGCAGGTTGGGCTGACGTTCGCTATAGTGTTTGGAGTCATCATATACAGGATCTCAACTGCAGCGGCACTAGCAATCAGTTCAACTCCCTCGGGCCGGTCAAGCGTCAGGGTCACTGTCACTGCCACCGCAGTCATTATCAATTTGGTTGTCATCATCATCCTGGACGAAGTGTACGGCTGCATCGCAAGGTGGCTAACTCAGATCGGTAGGTTTAAATCCTCAACTGATATTTGCTAGAGCGATTTTAAATGAGAAGACCCAGATGACTGGCTTTCATGATTAACTTCAAAGTGGTGAGCAAACCCAGGAAATTCAAATGTGCAGCTAAAATTCCAACCAGCTACTTACAAATATCAAAACGCACATGGATTTGGCTTTATTTTTAAAGTTTTTCTTTCAGCAGTGGTAGTGCTAATCACTAATCCGGTTATGGGTGACGAGGATACAGCAGAAATTCCTATACCTAATCTTGAGCTTCGTTCTTCTGTATCACACAATCACTATTTTCTTTTTCTGCCATTTTTTAATTGGCATAAGACATGTCGAGAAATGCAAAATTGTTGAGTGCAAAAAAACACTGTAGAAAAAAATTTTTTGAATAATTTCCAAAAATCTTCAGTGACAAAAGGTCCAGAAATCTTTTTCAGATAAGTTCTTGTCCATCTGCAAGTGATTGTCATGGAGGTCAGCCAGATGTGGAATGAAATTAGAATTACTGTTGTAACACATCTGAATGGTGGGATCCTCAGCAGGTTGACCGCTGACCTCAGTGAGGCCATATTGCTTTTTTATGTGTATATATATATATATATAGCTATAAATATATACCTCTTTGTTTAAAAGAGGGCTGATGTTTTCCAAAGTCCACATGTATAATATCTTGAAATGTTCCAGGTAGGATAATTCCTTAATGTTTCTTATCCATGTCACATTGGTTCCAGAGGTGCCAAAAACTGACAAGAATTTTGAAGAGCGGCTGATTTTCAAGGCTTTCCTGCTGAAATTTGTCAATGCCTACACACCCATTTTCTACGTTGCTTTCTTCAAAGGCCGGTGAGTAATGCAAAAGGCTCTTCAAGGTTTTGACTTGTTGCTTATGAGACAGCTGTAGCTGAGCTAAGACCATAGTTGGACAATAAAGTAAATCTGGATTAAAAGCTCCTCAGTATTGACCCAAAAACTTTGCAGCCTCATGGAATAAAGCAGAAACCTGGTACTCTACCGTTTCAAATTTGTTAAAGCCGTTTTGTTAAGATAACTTTGTATGTTCAGATACAATCCCCCGCCAGGCTATTTACCATTGTCTATTTACCACTCTTAACTTCAGATCATAGCAAGTATCATCCCTTTTCTTGCAACCAGCATGAAAGCACAAGGCTAAAATAAATACTCTGTGTGGCATGTTCCAGCTAATGCAACAGAAATGAGGATTACCTTAGAGGATTTCTGCCAAGATGCGCCTACAATATTGTAGGACACAAGACTTGCAGTTTTATTGAGTTGTTTACTCAGTAAACAGGACTTACTCTTCAAAACAAAACCAAAGATAATTATTCTCATTCACTTTTTCAGGACCAAACATTAGGTGGTCCCACTCAAAGGCATAGAGGTTGACATAAATTACTTTAGGGTTCAAATATAAAAAGGATAAAATACATACGAAGTTTATAATTCTAACCATTGTGCCCTAGATTTGTTGGACGTCCAGGAGACTACGTCTATATTTTCCATTCTTTCCGAATGGAAGAGGTAATTGCATTTTTACCTGTCTGTGATCACGTTGGGTTGGGAGCACTGTGTGCCCCTACCACAGGGATGCAGCAGATGTTCTGACTGATGTTTCCTCTGTCCACCCTAGTGTGCTCCAGGCGGTTGCCTAATGGAGTTGTGTATCCAGCTCAGTATTATCATGTTGGGCAAGCAGCTGATTCAGAACAATTTATTTGAGATTGGCATCCCGTAAGTAGTGACTTTTGGGGTTGGGTTTTTTTTTTAAACACGTGGTTTTTATGATGCATGGAATACACTGTGTATCTGCTGCCCCTTGACGTGAACGTGGTTCATAGGCTACCTGCAAGATTTTTGCAGTAAGCCTGGGTCTGCTGTATTGCAAATACCTGCAGCCTCACCGCAACTGCATCCAGCAATGCGGATGTCTTTGAAAAGTGTTAGGCAATCTATTGCTTTCCTACTGGTTAGCAAGAGGTGTAATACTGAACATGTGATTCGATTATAACCGTGTTTCAGTACCTGTATGTCCTGATCCCCGATACTTTTAGGGTATTGTGGCTCTTGTGCAGTTTTGATGAAAATGCGTATGGACCTTATGGTGTCTGTTAATGTAAAATAACTGAAAAACGGGCACTGTGACCAGAATGGCATGCTAACTGAATCATTTCCATTTCCCCCAGAAAAATGAAGAAATTTATACGATACATGAAATTAAAGCGTCGGCGTTCTTTAGACCATGAAGAGCACATGAAAAAAAAGCAACGTTATGAAGTGGACTATAACCTGGAGCCTTTCGCTGGACTTACCCCTGAATATATGGAAATGAGTGAGTGAGGTGGAAAGAAGGCATTTGAAACCATAATTATTCTAATTGGGATGGAGAGCTGAGGTTTTTCAACTGTAGATTTGGTGGACAGTGGATATGAGGCATAACTTAATTATTAAAGTGTATAGTCTCGGACTGAAGCATGTTTCAGCCAGCCACTGGCTGCCACAGGGATGGATTGTGCTCTCTGCTGTTCATGAGCCCTTTAGCACTGTATTTGTAGATATTTTCTTTCAAGCCGTGTGACATGTCAGTGTCAGGTTTCAAATGCAAATGATTAAATGGCATAAACTTGAGATTGTGAGGCATATTTTATCATCAGTTGCACCCTACATTGGAAATAAGTTACTTAATTCAGATTTGACAATTTCCACTGCATATTCTCACACCAAATTTTTTCTGTTTTCTGAAATCCGGACTAAATCTTCTGAGAGGCATGCGTGCCTGTAGACCAGGTTGTACCAGACAGATCACATACTTTTTTTTTCCCCAAGTAATGTATTATGTTGAGTGAGTGATATGGAAATTAAGCACTGGATGTCAGCTCTACATTGCTGCAGCTGTACAACCACATTTCTTTTCCTACTTTCAGTCTTGGAGAGGCTGAGAACTGTTTGACATAATGCTGTTTGCTACAGTGTCAGACATTCCTGAAGGATCTGTCTTAAAAGAGCAACTTTATTTAGCATTTTAATGAATGATTAGGCAAAAATAGTGGTAAAGGATAATGAAGTATACTAATACCAAAAACTGGCATGCCCAGTAAATGCAGAGGTGAATTAGAATATCTGATGACCTTGATGTTCGGAGTAGTTGAAACAGATTGAAATTTAATGGTACAAACTATGAGGTCATGCTGTCAGTTCCTAAAAATAAGAAAAGATGCAGTTAGTGAGATCAGCATTTGGAAGTAACAGAGGAAGAGAAAGATGGGGCTCTGACGGTACCGGGATGGGTACAAAAGCAAATATGATCCCAGACTGTAGGAAAGCAAGTTATTCCCAGTAAAGGCAGAGAATCAGACATGTGCTTTTCAAAGCCCTTAAGTTTCTACACTTCAGAAGAGAAAGCTTCCAGTGGGATTAGTGAGGGCTAAAAACCTGCTGGGTGGAGCATGGCAAGTTTACGTGGAGCTAACACGGTCGCTGCTGTAATCCCACTCCTTCAGATCACTCCTGTGCCAGCCTCGCCATGGCAAAATTGTTTTAGGAGCTTCCCCATCCTTCTGGTTACTTTGCCTTGCCTTTTGCAAGTGGAGCAACTGGTCCTTCAGTGCCGAAATGGAGCAGCGGTCAGGCGCTGTGCCTGATGCAGAAAATGGGATTTAGTCTCCCAACACGTGTTGTTAGAATTTGGGGGGATGGCACTGACATGAGGATGCATGCATTCAATAAATACTGACCACAGCCATTGAAATGGTTGCTTTTTCTTTTCAGTTATTCAGTTTGGATTTGTAACTTTGTTCGTTGCATCCTTCCCGCTGGCACCTTTGTTTGCTTTGTTGAACAACATCATTGAAATCCGTCTAGATGCAAAAAAATTTGTTACTGAGCTGAGGAGACCGGTAGCAGTCAGAGCAAAGGATATAGGTAAGTGCATGTTGCTATTGTTATCCCTTTTTGTTTATTCCCAGATTGATGGCAGGATATTATTATGCTGAGTTAGTTTCATTAACAGGAAGATATTTATAGAAAAATTCAAACATTAGACTGTGGCTTAACTGTGAACTGTCATACCTTATCGAGGCTTTACTTTTAAAATAGAAAGACCAGAGCTTGAAATTCAGGTGAATATTTTATTAAGTAAACAATATCACTTTTCAAATCAAAATGATCAGTACAATAGCAAAATATCTTACATGGTTGTGCACATCAACAGTTTTTCCTGGCAACGGTTTTCTTGCAGAAGCAAAAATTTCTGCATTTAATAACTCTGGAATGGGCTGGAGAAATACACTTGGGAATGAGAGGAGACTCAAAAGTCTGTGGGTAAATGTATCCCTTCGTCCCTACTCAGCATGAATGCAGGAAGGGTGAAGCTTGAAAGCTGCAGTGAATCTAGCTGGAACTGGGCTCTGCGGTTGTATGGTAACAACAGACCAGTCCTCCCCTTACTGCGGGGGGCTAACAGCTATGGATATATGTAATGAGGAAGCTATTTCCCCCAAATGTTGGTTACTTACAAGTAAAAAGGTCATTAAAATAATTGTTCATATTACAGAGCAAGTCAGCAAGAGCAGAGAAGTTTATGTTACCAAACTCGGTGTTCATTCTGGTATTGAATGAACAGGCAGAGTTTTTCCTCGGGCTCTTCCTTGTGCCCTAGGATCATCCTAGAGTTGAAGAACACATCATATTTTGTCATGCTATTGCCTTTACCATGACACTGCTTTTGGGGTGTTTTGTGGCTGGCTCATTTGATGCTGCAGGCTAAGGTTGCTGGTGGAGATACTGGGGGGTTGTTCTTGGGGTTTGTGTTTTTGTTTTGGGGGTTTTTTTTGGTTCTGTTTTTGAGAGGGTGTTAATTGCAATTCAGTCCCACTCTTGTGGGTGAAAGAACCCCACTTCTTTCAGAGACATCCCAAAGTCAGAGACCACGAAATGGCCACAGACAAACCAGACAAGTTTTTAGGGGCAGCATCAGCAGAATCGGGAAGGGGAGAAGGTCCCACCTGCTAAAGGCAGTGGGTAACCACTGGCAGCAAACAGAGGTCTATCTCTGCTTCCACTCATACTATAATATCTCCTCCTAAAGTTCAGTTCCGTACTCTGTCCAGGCTGCCTTGTGTATGCTGTGCCAGAAGACCAAAGCTATATGAAGTATGAATTAGTTACCAAGCAAGGGATTTGGCCAGGTTGGAGGAGTCTTCCAGGGCTGTCACCCTGTGTAAAGCCTCCTACATCTTGTTCCTCTTCAGACCCAGAATAGGAGAGTGGCTCATCGGGGCCGTAACCACACGGATCTGGTAGCGGCCCTGGATTTTTCCGTCAAGACTGAATCTTGCAGTTTGAGTACTTCAACTAAGGAAAAATTTCCAAGCTGTCACTAATGAGCAGGAGACGGTCAGAGAGGCCAGGCACAAGGGTGCACGGCCACATACACGAAACCAGCACTTTATCTAGGCTTCCGAGAAGCCCTTCCATGAGGAATGGAATCTGGAGATGGGGAAGGGGCAGAGCTGTGGGACTTCATGCATCATCCTCAGCCTAAATCCAGAGGGGTTGAACCTGAGTCCGTCTGGGGTCAGCTGGTATTATATTTTGAATGCACAGAGCCCACGCTGAGGAAACCTGTGTCTATGCGGTTTCCAAATGCAATGGAAAAATCCCATCGAGTGGCTCCACCGGAGCTTTGCTTTCTTGAAACTGAGGTAGGATCAACAGTGATGAGAAGGTGTAGAAACAGATTCCAGTAGATCCTTAGAGCTGGTAGACCAGTATGTTCTGCACCATGTGTGTGGAGGTTCCCACTCCCTATCTGTAGCTTTCTTATTCTCCTCAAGCATTTGAGAAGTTTGAATGAAATTTCATTATTTTCTTTTCTACCTATGCCAGTATTCCTCTATCTCACACTTGCCTTCCTCTTCTTCCTCAAAGAAGCTTTTAGCTTAAAACCTCAAAAAAATAGGTGCCTAAACATAGCTTTGGAAGACAGAGTTGGGCTCCCTTTGCTTACAGGTCATTAAATTAATCTCTTATAATTTGTTCATTTTTTATTTAAAATATAACTAGTTCGGCAGAGTCTTAAGTACTCCTAACACTGTTAACTAAATATGTAATTGATCTAATTCCACCTCAATTTACATGTTGGTCTTCTTCCTTAGGAATCTGGTATAATATCCTCAGAGGTATTGGAAAGCTTGCTGTCATAATAAATGTAAGTAATTCGGCATGAATAAAATTTGAATTCAATAGGCTGGCTTTTCCATTCTGCTCCATTAGTTTTATTTCAGCATAAATCCCTTAAAATCAAGTGAAAGTACATGATTTAGAAATTTTCTGAAATATTAAGATAATCAGATGCAGTGTTTATTTTAAAGTTGTGATAGTAGAAGCAATAATATAAAATAGAAAGTAATCATTGCAGCTTTTTTCCAGAATGTTTTCATAAACCAGTTTTGTCCTTTAAACAAATAAGACCACAGCTGCTTACTTTTGCTCTTTTGAAATACTATCACTAACATGATGTACTTTTTAATTTCAATGCTAAAATCTGTTTAGGGTCCAGCAGTCAACTAGGTGTGAATTAGCTCAGCTCATCAGAGCGCAGTGTCCCTCCATTGAAAATCTGGCCTCGAACTGCATTGCTCTCACTCAGATAGCTCTGAAAATCCATGAAAATATTTTTGTTTACTTCAACAGTGAACATCCCAGCCCTTAGAAAATTTTAGCACCCCTTAATAGGTTCATTTATGTACTTATCTAATATTCTATATGAATAGACATCCACAATGATGATCTTCATTGCACCCCACATGGGGAAAGAAGAAAAAAAACCCTGAGTAACAAGCTGAAAACGTGTTTGCAATGCAGCAAAGCAGGGGCTGCGTAGGGCTTACTTGTCCACGGGCCCTCTCGGGTTTTTTGCCATTATCCAGACTGGAAATCCCTTCACTTTGCCCACAGGTGTCTGTTGTGCTATGGTCAAACCATTCTTTTGGTTATTTGGTATGCTGCCTTAATTTGTCTTTAGCATTTCTCCTCTTTTCCTTTGGAAATAATTTCTCTATTTTTTTCTCTTTTCTTCCATGTAGTCTCTCTTCATCATTATCCAGTGTTATTTTTCCCTCTTTGATCTGTGTGCTACCCCCTTTATCATAAAATAAGTAAAACATTTTGTACTGTGTTTGTTCCACATGTACATGAGATTTATGCCAGTGAGAATGTTTCATAATAATGATAAATGAGAAAGGATAAAGTTATAAAGAACTCAGCCGAATTGGCTGTCTTGCATTTTGTGTATGACGTTCTTAGAAAACCTTTTTAAATAACCAAATAAAAAGCAATTTTTGTGACCATAAAAATAAAACTTGGCTTGGTCTGCTCATCCTTTTATCTTGATGGCGTTAAAAAAACCATACAATTAATGGCCTTTTGCAATGCAATGAGAATTTAAAGAGTCAATTCACTGTCAGTTGTTTGCAGAACACAAAAATACTTGGAAATCCATCAACTCGACCTTATACAATGCATCAGGGACAAGTTGTGACTGGGGCACAGGGAAGCAGCGCCATGTTTTGCTTTCCGCTGGTGCTGGGGGGTACGGCCGCTTCATTCTCTGGGGAGTTCAAGTTGTTATCCACGTAGAAATCTCAGTCGGCGTGGAGCTCCATCTAATATTCTGCAACTCGGAAGAGTAAGCAGTAAATACTACCTTGTTGCAGCAGTGAATACTCCATTTTTAGGGCCCTGTGGGCTGCAGCATCCCCCCTTGTTTTCTGAAGCCGTCCCTGAGTTGTGTGAATTGTTTGGGCGAGACATACGTGAGGATATTATTAACTTAACCACTGCCTGAATATTGCGCTCACTCTTTACTCTTATGGCTTAGGCATTTGTGATCTCATTCACATCCGACTTCATTCCACGCCTCGTGTACCTGTATATGTACAGTGAGAATGGCACCATGCATGGCTTCGTGAACCATACACTATCTTCTTTTAATGTCAGCGATTTTCAAGCAGGAACAGCTCCAAACGACCCCATGGATCTTGGCTACGAGGTTCAGATATGCAGGTACTCTCTTGAGTGATAACCACCTTTAAGTATTTTCACAGCTGACTAAGAATGGGACAAAGTTTTACATGCCCTTGTATTTTCAATACTTTTTTAGCACCTTGGTAGCCTTTTCTATCAGATGGATCCATTGCCTTGAACGTCTTGGCTTACCTATTAAGCAACCGCAAAACCTGAATATGTAGTATTGCTTATTTTGGGAAATAGAGATTAGCGTTGTTAAATTCAGTGTTTGTCCGTGCAAAGATTTTTATTATTATGTATTCCCTTTCTCAGGAAAGGAGATAAATAATGATAAACAGCACAATGATGCTTTAAGGGAACAAAGTGATGTTACTCTGATGTCATGTTGTTCTATCACATGCTATTGATATAATGACCATGACTTCACAGTACACCTTTCTCTTTTGTCTGGTTTCTATACCGATTCCTGATGAGAGTTATAGCATCCTTATCTGCACTGGAACTTAAGACCTACTTAAATTGTCATCGTACAGGAAATCTGCACGCCTGTAACCATTTCTACATATTCTTTTAATTTTTATAGCAAAATTATTGTTGCATATTTCAGCTTATGAAGCAATCTAGGTCAGTGGTGAAATGCATGCTTTGCCTAGGCTTCCTTAGATATGCATCATCTTCAAAACAAATGTTTTAATGCTTAGGATTGGAGACCAAAGCCAAATACAACAGTGAAAGCACTTAGATCAGCAAAACTGAAAGGGGGACAATGGGGGTAAGAAAAGGAAGAGGAGAACAAGGAGGGAAGAGGCATACCGGGGGAGAAAAAGAAAGAAAGATGACTTTGGTATACATATACTAAAAAATTACACAAATTGGCCAGGAAAAAACCCCACCTTTATAATTGCATTATTTTTTAATTTATATTCTTTATAAATTTGAATAGTGCACGTTAATCTGCTGAAATGGCTGCTAAAAAAAAATTCACCCTGAGATGAAAGAAAAAAACAACCAAAATTGCATATGTATTAGCTTTGCTTGCTTTTGCTTTCTCCTGGTTTCCTTCTGGTGATCTTTGGGCTCAGGACAAACAAGGTTGGCAAACAGGTTTTTAGCACAGAACTTACAGAACGGAAGTGTTAGTGTCATGGCCCAGTACAAAAATGCCAGGTTTATTTGCTTTCAAGTCACAGCCTCTTTCTTCTTCCCATCCCATCATTTGTTCCATAACCCAGGGACTTTTAAATCATTTGAAAATATGGAGCCCTAATTCTTTCAAAATATTGAAGGAAGCTGTGGTTTTAAATTTAATATATTTTTCTTGGTCCTATTTCTAACAAGTTATTGTTGATTAGGTCATAGATTTTTCTGTAAGCCATAGCTAAGGCAAAATTCTCACCTTCTCTCTATATGGCAAAATTTAGCTGTGATCTTTTGCTAATCATGAACAAGGAGAACACCACATAGCATAACACACTCTGGATCTGAGATCAAGATTTTTGTCTTTAAAATTAGTCTGAAAAATATATAGGTTTGTTGTTTGGGGTTTTTTTACCAATCTTAAAATAAATTATTTGAGCTGTGTAGTTTACTCTGTCTTTATGCAGAATTTATATTATTTGTACTAATCAGAGGGTATTAAGACTGAAGACCTTTAATTTTGAGTAAAACTTGAAGGCTGTGGGCATCTTGTCTTGTGTCTTGTTTCTGAGAGGTTAATACAGCATAATGCTGTAATAGTGAACTTGCTTTTAAATGGTTCGATTTACTGTTTGGCTTTTTGGTATTAATTCCTCCTGGTGCTAAAATTTGTGAATGACATCACTGATTTACTGAGTCTTGTTTTGCAGATACAAAGATTATCGAGAACCCCCCTGGTCTGAAAACAAGTATGACATTTCAAAGGATTTCTGGGCTGTCCTAGCAGCAAGATTAGCATTTGTGATAGTTTTCCAGGTAGGTTCTACTGCAGGCACTTTTTATATGAGAAAGAAAAAGAGTTATCATATTTCTTCAGCTACATAAGGCAAGCCATCTTTTGGAAATAAGTTATTAGGCCAAAGAAAATACCTTCTTTCTCAGCTGTTTCATGGAAAAGCAAAGAAATTTGCCCATCCTCATTCACCCTCTTCCTCCCACCCACCCAGGCCCAGATATATCCTCAGTGGAAAAATTCATCCCCAGGGATTCCCTGAACTGGTTTGACACAGAAGCAACTTAAAGACCTTAGTGAGCAGCAAAGCACAAGGCTGATACTAATTGGGTCCCACCAATTTCTCCAGTAGGACATCAACAAATTCACTAAAGCAGCATAAATTTCATCCAAAATCGTTTCTAGACCTAGCCAAGAAATGAAATTTCCAAAATTTTCCCAGTTAGAGTTTTACTTGTGTCTGAACAAGAAGGCAAAATCTTGTCATTTTTCACTAAATGACATTATTTGATCACAGCGGTGGTGCTGGTTATTGTGACACAAGTGTTTTAAGTCTGCCTTATCTAAACAACTTGTTTCAAAACTTTCATTCCTTTTTTTTTTTGACAATATATGTATCTTTCTGTGAAAGACCTTATTTTTAAATCAGAAGCATTTCATTGGAATCTATTTCACTAACTTTCATCATTTTACCTCTTGTTATTTGCTTCTGCCTTTCTGATGTAAAACTCGTAAGCCATTTATCAATGACAATATTTCCTTTGGATTTCTACGTGGCTGTGACAGCATTTGCACAGAAATCAGAGAGATCTGTGTCTGTCATTTTTCTCTACTTCTAGCACGAACAAAAAGTTGAGGTGAATTTGGCTCAGTACTAGGCTTGTGACATGCAGTTGAACCCAACTCAAATACTGTCCTTTCTTCATTCTTCCTTCCCAAGTACACCGAAAATGGCCCCTTCCCCTACAGTCATCCTTTCATTTGACCTTGCTGACATTTTCTCACAATTTCATTTTCAGAACTTGGTCATGTTTATGAGTGACTTTGTTGACTGGATTATCCCAGACATTCCCAAGGACATTAGTCAGCAGATTCATAAAGAAAAAGTTCTCATGGTGGAGGTCTTCATGAGAGAAGAGCAAGGGAAGCTGCAAATGCTAGAAACCTGGAAAGACAAGGACAAGAAAAAAGGTGAAAACTGTAACAATCACAGCCCCAGACTCTCCAGGAGCCACAGCGGGAGCTTGTCCTCCTGCCATTCATATCCTCTTGACGTATAGAAGAGGAGGGAGTTGAGTATGTCGGGGCATTCCACTGATACACAAGCCATCGCGTAAAGGGCAGGACTCAATTAATGGACAACCTGGTGCATGTTGAAGGATGTGCTGCCATTTCGCTCCCATCTTTGTGAGAAATGCTCTTCTTACAAATATGGAGGACCACATTCTATTTCTGATAATGTTGTTGTTTTTTCTTTTGCACAAGCAGTAATGCAGGGAATTTTTATATTTCATTGATAGATAACACTATTGACGTTGGTGTGCATTGATAAATGCAGGTACTTAGTATGTCTTGATAGAGATATTCTCTGAGAATTTGACCTTAGCCTATTAATTAACTAACTAAATAAAGGTAAATTTTAAGTAATAGTAATACTACTAATTTAAAATACTTTGGGAACCCCAGGCTTGAAGGTCCATGGGGTAACTAGATAACGTATATGCAAAATCAGCTTTAGAGTGTGCCCTGGTATTCCTTTTGGCAGGAGAGAAACCACGTAAAGCCTACCAGACTGACTTGCTTTCCAACATAGAGGGTTTAGCTCTGCTGGCAGACATCTCTGTTGGAACCTGCAGGGCTGAAACGAGCGGAGCTCCCGCCGAGCTTCAGAGTCACACAGGTGCGTGGGGCACTCGTGGCAATCTGCCGTGTACCCGAGACCTTCACCGGGGCGCTGCTCTCTTCAGAAACATCAGAAAAGTGAATCTGGAAAAGTTTTTTTTTTTTACCGATGTACGACTGATGTGGATGAAGCTACCTCAGTGCCCCAGGGTGCATCAGGTGCGTTTGAGCAGTGCCCCAGCGGCTCCTTGCTCATGGCCAGGCAGCGGCAGCTCCGTTTCGGAGATCCTCCCAGCAGGTAGATGATCACAGAGCATTTTGTTAAATGCCCTGAATTAACGAGCACACGTAGAGCTCCAATTGACTCACACTGCCCTGCCTAGTACTCAGACACTGTTGTTGCTGAGGAAATTCCCTTTTTCCTGTTGTTTTAGCACATGCCTTTCTCAGCCGGGTTTTTCTCTGTAGCCCTCGATCCTCTGCAGGAGAAAGGAGTCTGCACCCGTTTTTTTTTCACAGCCAGTTGCCCCTGCAGACTTTCTGCTGTTGAATGGCATTTCCCAGAGGCTGTGCTGGAGGAGTAAATCCAAAACATGTCCCACTTACTGTCTTCAGTGGAAGTTTTGCCTGCACTGGGGCTACAGGACCAGACCTTCAGTTAGTTACAGGACTTTTCTTTTGTCTTAAAATACTCTATCTTTTGTACAAGGAGCTTCCTTAAAGTATAAGTCTAAAATCCTTACTTACGATGCCTAGCTAAATCCCATCAGTACGACTCTTTTTAAGCATAGTACATTTTAGTTTTGCTTTGTCAAACGATAAACTGCACTTCCAAATAATATCGGTGCAATTAACCTCATTTCTTTTATTGCTTTGTCTTGTCCATGGCACTTGCATTACAAATATAAAACTGAAAAATAAAATAAAAATGAAAGATTTCTTTAAAGTCTAACTACTGTATGGTTTGTTACAAAACCAAGCGTCAAAAGACTGTTTTCAAGAGAAGTTAGTTATTTCTTTTTTCCTTTTCTTTTTTCTTTGCCAAACTAATTTAAAGATTAATGCTAGAACTTAAGAAATATGCCATATTTAGCTTTTGATATATTTATTTGTTTTAAAGTATGTGATAAACTTGATATTTTTCTGTAGTCTCTCCAAAGAAGGTACCAGAAAAGAAATTATGTGGAAGAAAGAAAATGGTATTAACCAAATATTCTTGAAGCTTATTTAAAATATTGATCCAACCAAAGATTTTTATTAATAAAGGGCTTATATTTTGTTAACTATTGTTTCTGTTGTATTTTGACTTGCAGGAATGTCACTATTTTTAGAATTTGTAACTTATGATCGCTTACTACTGTAGGGCCAAATCCTGCCTGATTTATTCACGCAATAAGCATTATGCCTGGTAATAAGTGTTTACCAGATCAGGCCCGCTGACTGCAATAGGACTGTGAGTGGGAATAAATCAAGCAGAATTCTGTCCATACATTGTGTTGAAAAAGTGTTCTTCCTCTCATTCCTTGGTAGCCCAAAAGATCCAGAAGAAAGTCAAACGTGAACTGCCTGTTCTGAAGAGAAATCTTAGGGGAACTTCCTTGAAGGGAATTTCATCTGTAAATACTTAGCCGAAAGTATTCCCAGCTTAATACTGACATTCCTGTAAATGGTAGAACTATATCCTGAACACATACTTATGAGAATTTTTCATTATTTGCTGAAATCATGAAATAGTAACAGTTGCTTATACTTTCTTTTGTACAGTAAATTGTTTGAAATGGAATTTTGTATATAAAAACTGTATTACTACTTAGATAACTATAAAACTCTTTCATGGAATCATTTTTTAAGAAAAGCAAATATATACTAAATCTGTTTTAGTTCGTTTTTTTTTTTTTTCTTTGAACACCTATTTGAAATAAACTTAAATATGCAAGAGCTTCTCCTGTCAGGGTCTGTTCCCAATCCTCCTTGTGCTCTGAGTGTGCAACTATGAGTACTGTTAGATTTGAGAAATACAATAATTTGTGTTACAGTTTGCCTAAAACTGGATCTGCGATGCCCTTTCCAGTGCTCCTTGTGTACTCAGACAGCAGAGGCCAAAACTGAGATTTGCTTGCAGGTATTGACTACTTCATTTATAGACATCTTCCTAACAACGTCGAAGGTAAATCTTGTGTTCAGCTGCTTTAGATACCCACTTTGAGATTAAGCGAATCCCACCTAAGTTGCATCTGTCTCCAAGAGCACAAAGGGATGTTTGCCTTCTAGCGCAGACGTAGACGGCTGCACCATAGACTTTGAATATCAAGTGATGGATCTTAGCCTGGGAGCTTTAATTTTCTTCTGATTTTAGTCTTTGGCATTTAGCAGAACGTAACATGTAAGAGCCTTCACTAAGACATTTGAAATGAGCTCGTAACGAGGAAGAATGCTATTTGGTTTGTTCATTTAAATTGAAAAATGTATTCATTATTAAGAAAAAAATGAAATGGTAAAACTAAAGGAATGAAACTCAGGGATTTCTTGGACTGTGTCTTGCTCAATGCAGCTCTGAAGGGAAGTAGCTGAGGAAGCAGAAATGCTACACTGTGTACATCCCATTTTTATTGCCTTGTGGGACCTGTGCAAGCAAAGCTGGGCTCAGAACCTGACTTGCCGTTTCCAATTTTTTCTCCTCCTCCCATTTACCTGTTCTGTGAGAAGGCAAAGCATGAGCTTTCACACCAATTCTCCCTTTCTACCAGAAAATATTAATGCTCTAACTAATGAAATTTAGTTAGAAGGTGGGAATTCTGTTCTGAGATAATGGATATGAAAACCAGAAGCAGGTAAATCACTGCCTCGTTGGTAACTGGTTTGGTTTTGTCATTTCTTAAAGACAAAATAGTAGATAGGAGCTCATTAGATAGAAGTTAATGCCTTCCAGAAAACGGTTTGCGCTGCACTTGCGGTACTTTTCGTGAAAGTTTTTTTCATATCTGTGATGCAAGTAGAAACAAGTTTTGGTTTTACCAATAGCAAATCTGAGGCAGGATTATGCTAGTAAAGATTCACTGGAAGAGGGGAAAAAAAGGAAAGTTGATACAGAGAAGTGGGGATCTGGAAGTGACCAAGAAATAACTGAAAATACCTCGATGTGACTCACAGCTACCATACAGGCCAGGTTTGATGAAAGATAGCAATACTTGTATTCATACAAATACAGCTGAATTCTGTATTGATTTGACTATCTCCACGATGTGCATTCAGCCTGGTTTTGGCATGCTTCTGCCACAAAATTGTAAGTACAAAACCCCATTTTGCTTTGATCAAAGGAAAAAAAAAAAAAAGCCAAAACCTATTGTATCAATGTATTAAACAGGAAAATCATTATACTGGTATACTTGGTCCAAGAGCAAATGCAGACAATAGTAGGAAAAACTACAGCTGGAACTGGCTGTGTAGACCATTTTTGAACCACTACTAAAACATGCTGTTTGCTTTTTGCTACCCAGTTTGTGGCAAAGACACAACTTCAGTCGGTGTATCTGAGGAGGAAATCATACCCACCCTATTGTGTTGACAGTCCGAGTCTGAATCTTCTGAATTTCCATGTCATTGTGTTTCTAAGATACTGTCTTACAAATATTTTGCAGTCTTAAATAACTTAAGGGTGAATAAGTCTCAAGTCAAGGCACAGACACATTTCTATTTTTAAACCCTCAGTGCTCTCTGGTCCTGAGCGGTTAATGATCTTTTTGGCTGTTGTGATTTCCAATAATAAAAGAATTTACTTCTCATCTTGTTACCTCAGGAGTCTGAATTCTCCTGAAGTTTTGTAGATCACTTGAGTCCATTTATATTTTCCTAGGAAGTCTTCAGAGTAAACAACTCTTTTTTCCTTTTGCCCCTGAAGAAACCGTGTCTTAAAATTTATATGGATTCCATTCAAACTCTGGTTCAATTCTTTGCACATTTGAGTACTATTTATTTCATGACCAAACACAATATGCCATTTTTAGTACAGCAGAGAAAAACCAAAGTTCTTTTTTTACCCAACAGGCCTTTCTGAAGGAGCAGCTAACTATTAATGTGGCTTCTTTTTAATTTTAAGCTCTTTCTTTATTTTTTAATACCATGCATGCCGCCTGATTCGAGGCCACCTGAAGCCAAAGAAAATATTTCCTTTGATTCCCTTTGACTGCAGCACACTTTGCATGAGACTGAGCATTGCTTATTGAATGATTGGTTCCACTTACAATAAAAATTTGTGGCACTTACTGTACGGTACTTTTATAACGCAGAGTGTCAGCTAAAGCCAAAATATATTGATACAGATGAGTTGTGTGAGCAGAAAAGAGTTGTGCACGCTGTTGTGCTAGCTTCCACAAGGTAAAGGCTCAGAAAATGAAAGGCATGACAGAGTCATGTGGACTTAGTTACACAAGTTTGAAAGTTTTGAGGTCATAGCTTTCACCTGCTTAGTTCCGCCTGTGTGAGAAAATTCATGCCAAAATGGAAACGTATCTACCCCGATGCTCATGAGAAAAAGAATCAAAACACAAAAGATATAGCAGAGTGCTTGTGCTGAACAAACTTAAAAGCGTAACAAAATCAGTTTTTCAGAGCAAGAGTTAAATGCAGGTAGTTAAGCAATCTTTCTTAGAGCAGAAGAAAAGGTTATTCCCTGTTTTTACTTCTAAATGAAAAAAGAGTTC